ATAAAAAAACATGATTAGATATAATTGTTATGAGACACGGTCATAAAGTTAAATTCACTTTCAACTTTCAAATATAAAACTACGAGTACGATACGAGGACATGTAATTTAAATTGCTAAATTTAATTTCCACTTTCCTATTTATTTCAAATATTTAGACATGAAATGACAGGTACAAGAAGATAACGTATACTTCGGATAACAAAACTACGATAAATCCATGTATTAAAAAAATAGAAATACCTAAATCTTTAGAAAACAAAAAGGCTAAAACGTGAATCTTTGAATTAAAGAAATTAACGAGAAATAAAGATGAAACTGAATGATCAATAAAATTAAAAATCGAACAAGGATTGTCTATGCTAGGATTACAGACAGTGCATTGTGAATGAAAATGGTGGGAGCATGTGACTTAGATTGATAATTAGATTTTTATTAGTTTGATAAAAATAAATATTTAAACGAGGAATATGAGTATCCCGTCTAAATCTTTTGCCAAGTTTCTTATAATAAACATTGGCAAATGATTATGTTTTAAAAAGAAACGATTATGGAACATAAATTTTATGACAGATAGAAGACGGGAAGGGACGGGACGGGTCAGGACGAGACGGAAAGGAACAGGACGGGTTTCTATTCTAAACTACACATAAAACAATTCAAACTAAAGCCAAACCCAAATCAGATTGAACATCTCTAAGCAAACAGTTAGAAATGTTTTGATTAGTTTAAAAAATAAACACGTAATATCACTTATCATTTTCATTTAAAAAATGTTAAAATTGTAATTTTAAAATTTTATCATGTAATACAATATCTATATTTTACAACTGTATGTCTATATATAGTTTATCAAATAAACTCATATAATAAAATTTTACCGAAATAACATCTACTTAAAAAATCGTAATTTTGTAAAAATAACTCCGCACGTACGTGCGGGTCCATCACTAGTATCAGATAAATAGAAGATGATAATCAGCTAAATCTCGCCAGCGTTACTGTCAAAATTTATGGATTTTGTTTTTAATGTTTATAATCTAATTGACAATGATTGGATATTTGAATTGGTTTATATAATTTACACATTATGTTCGTTTTCACTTGCCATTTCATGATCCATTGCAAGATTCTGAATAAACAAGTGTGCACATTTGATACTAAGATTTAGAGCGCTCATCTGGACCAACTTCTCCACTGTTTCTTGAAAGATCCAATACGAAACTTGAAGAAAATAAAAAAAGCAATGATCAGAAACCCCACAAAAGCGATCCATATGCCAAAAATGCATCATTGCCTAAACTCACAAAACATTAACACTTATTAATCTCTCTCTCTCCTTTAATCCCCCATCATGCCTTTTTTTCTCATTTTCTTTCACGCCTCATCTTACAACCCTAATCACACACAGAAACCCCAAAACATAGCTTTTTTGCGTGTGTTATAAATCTCTGTTTTCTTAGTTAAGAGAGGCTCTTTGTCTAGTTTGTGTTCGATTGAGTGGGTGGAGGTTTGAATCGGAAGCAGGTCATTAACTTGGACCACCTGGCGACATCAACGAGAGAAAAGTGTTCGGCTTTGGTCCGGTCTTGTTACGTACCGTCAACGACTACTTGTTCTGACCACATTATTAATAAACCGAACACAGAAGTCGAAGATGGTCGTCTTGGCTACCGAGGAGGAGGAGGAAGACGGCGACGACTACATCAGCCGCCTAAGAGACACGGCGGAAGAAGCTGCACCGCTGTCTCTAGCGAGCCTTGCCGTCTCAAAAGCAACCTCAAGATCAAGACGGAGGCGGAGAAAGCCGTGGAGCAGAGGAAAGTAAGCTGGCCTGATGCTCACGGCAAAGATATTGCTCATGTTCAAGAGTTTGAGCTTAGGTAACTAATCCTATACTTGCAAAAAAAAAGTTCTCTTTGTTTGGATGATTTTGTAACTCGGCTGGTTAAATTTGGTTATCAGGAAAACCGTTACCGGTTTACCTTAATTAATCCGGTAAAAATGACATTAAATTTGCGTTTGTCAAATATATTTGCAGCGCATCGGAGGACGGAGAACATGCAGGATATTCTAAAAGAAAATATTGCGGTGGTGTCTGTATAATCCAGTAACATTATTATCCCATTTTGAGTTTTGTGTTTGAAATGTGTCTGAACTGTGTTGATGATTCATTGATACTAGTAGAATTTTCGTAAATTTATTATTAAGTAAAAATACTAAACCTATGAGATATTTGCCTCAAGACACATACCAAATTGCAGCTTATTTCAAGATGATATAATAATCGTATCCAACAGAAGAAAAGCAAAAGACAGAGAAAAAGTCACAACAACATAAACCCACATCATTCCTCAATTTCCCCCACTATATTTAATTGAATTTGTTTTTTTTTGTTTTTCCCTGGTTTATTAGTACAAGAACCAGGAAACAGGTTCCATTTGTTTTGTTTTCCTTCCAGTAGTAATAATCTGCTAGATTTTTCCTATTTCAGTATTTTATGTTCTCAGAGACGAAGAAAGATCTTCTTCTTACTTGTGTTACTCTTTCTTCAGCTGATTTGAGTTGACTTACCCTTCTTAGCTTTATTCTTCTCTTGGATCTTCTTTTTCTTCTCTTCAGATGTGATCCAATTGTATCCCCTTGGAATTGCAAATGGGTCTTGGTCGTTTTCGGCTTTACTGATGTTAATACCTCCAGAGCTCGAGCTTGTTGATGGACGCTGGCTCGGTGTTTTGATCCACTGAAACCATGAGGACGACGAGCTTGACGAGTTCTGTGTTTCTTCTCTAGGACTGTTCTTAACTGAATAAGTTGGACTTGATGGTGGCGTGACAAACTCATCTTCAATAGCTTCTAGCTCTTCAAACTTTGTAAATGTAACAAGTACTCTAATAGTAGGAATCACCGGAATAGCAACCTGCAGTAAAAAAATAAATCCAATTGAAATGAGCTAACAAGTTGTACTAAAATGATGATTCAGATCACACAAGGTTAAAAACATACCTTGACTGGGAATGTTCCGGAAGGTAGTTTCGTAATCATAAGCTCTCTCAAACGCCGAATTGCTTTGACTTTGTTTGCAAGAATATCGAGCAATGGAAGAAGTTCTTTTGTCTGTAACGGGAATCTCTCAGAAAGCCAAAGAACTGGTCTTAGCCCTTTCTTGTACTCGTTCTCTTTGCTTCCTTCTTTTCGCTTGCTACTTCCGCTGCCTTCTGATGTTGAAGCTTTTGACGAATCTCTTAATCCCCGATTTTCATCCCTCACCACAGTCTCAACCGTTGAGTGTCTTCCCGGCTTTATCGGTCTTCCTCCACGAGATGGAGAGTCATCGTCCCCAAGAAGATCGCTTACTTTCTCATCGACACTAAGTGAACTTCTTGGAGGAACACTACTTCGTTTATGCCCTTCCTCTCGTTTCCTCCATCCACTGAACCATCCTTTCTTCTCCTGTTTGCAATACCCGTTTCCATCCGTTACCGGAATCTCTCGATCCTCGAAAGAACAACTATTCTGCTTTTGAGAAATCCTAGAGCTCTCGCTGTTAGAAGATTCTTCCGGCGAATCCAACTTGAGCGCTAACTCCAGCTGCTTCTTCTCGTCCTCCGTCAAGATATCTCCAAGATCCTCGCTTTCTGAATCGTTTTCTTGATTAGTGTTTGAGAAAAGCTCCTCATCGGTCATTGCACCAGGTACTCTTCTTGATTTTATACTAACAACTACATTGTGCATATCGTACACTTTTGCTTTCCATTGCCCAACCATTTCTGTCTTCTCTTGACGCCTCCATGTTAATTGTGGGAAGAGAACAGCCTGAGTAACATCGATCCCGGGTCTGAAAATGCTTGTTTTGGACATCGCAGCCACTTCTTGGCGAACTTCTTCTTCTGATGCCGGAGCTCCAGCACCATCTAACGCATTCATAATCTCTTTATCCTTATGCGAAATCATAAGAAGAGAACCGGAAGGAACTTTACCATCCTCTGACCCATCTCCAAGAAAAAGTATGGTCTGATCTGATCTTTGAATCCTGAAACCATCAAACCCAGCCAATGTCATATCCGCTCTAAGATTTGCACCCCTCTTCCAAATCTTATAAGTATCCGAAGGCGCCACCCTAGAAATGAAAGGTATAACAGAGCTCTCGAAATGGAAAGTGATCTCCATGTAGAAATCTCTCATTCTATGCATAGTAGCCACAAGGCGAGGCAGCCTCCTGCACCACTTAGCCCAAGCCAAAGGCTGATAATGCCTCACGATAATCATAGCAATCCTCTCTTCTCTACCACAGATAGCTTCTTGCAGAGCGCTCCATCCATGCTCATTCTGCAAGCTCCAATCAGCTCCTGCAGCCATAAGCATCTCCGCGGAGGTCTCATCACCAAGCTTTACAGCTAAATGAAGAGCGGTGTCTCGGTTAACGACATCACGCCTGTCTATAACGGCTGCGATTGAGTCAGCTTTTGTCTCTTCAGCTACAGAAGCTGCTTCGTTCTTAACCTCAGACGGGTCACGCATCTTTGGAAGAGCGGATAACAATTTCTTGAGACCGGCATAATCTCTGGTGACAACAGCATGATGAGCAGGACTATGACCATACTTGGTAACATCAATGGTGCTTGCCATAACACAGGTAGTTGGATATAAGAAACAAAAAGCTTTAAAAAGACCAAGGAGGAACCCAACTCAAGTTACATCATCTTAAAACCTAAAAGTCTAAAACCCTCTCAACTCAGAAACACGAGTCTTGGTTTGCAAACCACAAGACCAATTCATAAACCTAATTGCAACTCTCCGAATATCAGACTAGAGGAAACAAATCTGAAAATTTGGAGATAAAACCCAAAACCCAAGCAAAATCCCCCAAATGCCTAGAGTAAAGCCGACAACTTGTAACAGATATAAGACACTAGGAATCGAAATTCAATCATTCAACTCCCCAAAACAGATCCAAATTAGAAATCCCAAACCGATAATTTATTTTTTGCCAAAAAAGGAAACTTTTTTTTTTTTGGTATACCCAGATCAAGAAGCAGACGAAAGACGGACGATTGAAGCTAATCAGCTGCTGGAGTGCTGGTACCAACCACAAGTAAGGGGAATTTATCTTTTAAAGTTCCCTGTAGAGAGGAATGATTCTAGCCTTTCCCGGAAAGCCAAAACAAAAAGAAGCCTCGAGATTCGTTGCTTCCGAGGAATCAGATCCGACCCAGATCGGGGAAAACCCACCCGAGAAGATTTGTTTTCGTGGACAGAAGAGATCTTAGAAAACAAGAGAGATGATGGCGAAGTAAGAGTAAGATTTTTCTAAGTTGGAAGAAAGGAATAAAATTTTTGTGAGAGAGGCAGAGGAACCGAAGAAGATGGACACGGTTCCTTTGGCTGTCTCCAATGGGAAGGTTCAAAGTCCGGTCGGGAAGCCTTTTACATGGAATCTTGGAAGAACTTTACTAGTTAGATATAATATCATAACCGTTAAAAGCTCTATAGCTCCTCCAAATTCTATTATTACGACATTAAATGAAATATTAAATTCTCAAGATTTCATTACTATAATTTTAACATAATAGTAACATACCAGACTACTAGAAAAAAATCAGCAAATATAACGTAGAACGAATGACTAGAAAAATTGAAACAAAACATATAGTTTGGTAAAAAGTGGTTTTTAATTTTTAGATTTGATTCAGAAAAAGCCAAATTGAAGCAAAAAAAGAGAGAGGGGATATTTCCTCGAATAATTCATTAAGAACGGGCCAAAAATAATTGGTTTTGAGGCAATTGGTGACTTGATTATCCCAATAAATGATTTTATTGTACTATGTTTTTTTTTTGTTTTTCTTAGTTTTGCTATTAAACAAATCCCCAAAGAAAAGTACGTTTGTCCTATATTTTTGTCAAACTTACATCATGATGAGTGGGTTTCAATGCGTGTAACTGATTTCGAATATCTCTATTTTGAATTTAAATTAAATTAAATTGACTTAGAAAAATCTGTTGTAAGGGGAACAATGACTTGAATATTCTCAGCCTCTAAATATTAAGTAATCAAATTGTTAATATGTACATCAGTTAGCATTAGTTTATATTAAGCTGACATAGTAAAAGTATTTCGACCCATATATAATGCATCAAAATAAGATTTATAGTTGTTAAAAATGTGACAAAATAACATAAGTATATTTTCAAAAAAAAAAAAATTCATCTGTAAAATATATTTTATGAATATATCAAAAACTTTGCACCCATCTTTTTTTTCTTTGTAAACTTGATTCTTGTTGGTTATATATATTTCAAACTTTTGACTGAGCAATTTGACCGCAATTTAAGATGTCAAAAAGAAAAGAAAAAAAAGGCCAACTTAGTGGACCTTAAGCCCAGCTTAAATCGTGTAAGCCAACATCATTAATTTAAGATCCAGAACCTGACCCGGTAATCCCTTACCCGACCCGTAACTATCTGAGGTCCAATCGTTGCACCCCTCTGAGCAAGAGGAGGAGATAGGGCAATTGTGATCGATGCAGTTGCTTCTCATCGAACAACTAGGGTTGGGTTTCGATTCGCACTTTCTAATCACATTCAATCGGGTAATTTCTTATTTACATATCTGTCTCTGTATGCGATAGATTTGTTGTTCTCTGCGATAGGATGCTTTTTTTTTTTTTTTGGGGTGTATCTACAATTCCTCCTATGAATCTTCGATCGTCTGTTAGTTGCGTTGTTTAATTTCTCAGTTTTTTCCGATGATAATCAATTCGAAGGCATATGTCCATAGAAATTTGTTTTTTTCTGCAATTCGATTGAAATAGTTCTCTTTGGGTAATCTTAACGTTTGGTGAAACTGTGTGTTGCTTAAGTTGTAATCTGGGGTTTATGTTTTGAAAATTCCTGATAGAACTCTCATTTACATCTCACTAATCAGAAAAATCTACTGTAACACTATTTGAGCATTGCTTTCGATTTCTTTTATTTGTTTATTTTTGATTTAACTGTTTCAGGATGGAGAACACTGACGTTGAAATGGTAATCACCATTCCTGATACTCCAGATAGACCGGTACGACGTCGAGAGGTTAATAGAAGACCACATTCTCCAGAAGCACTGAGATATCCAAGAGAAGAGTACCGTAATTATCTTAACGGTAGAACTAGATCATCCCCTGAAATTGCGGAAAACCGTGGATCTTCTGATACACCAACTGAGAATGGACATCGCTCGCGCTCTTTGTTTAGGAGAGCAGCGGTTGACAAGGATAAAGGAAAATCCATCTCCACAGATCCACGCGGGGCTCGTGTTGAGAAAAATCCGGTTTTAAATTTGAATCATCATAATGGACATGCTCATGTTGCTGCATCGAGATACTTACCATCTGAAGGTATAAGAGAATTGCACACAAGTAGTGGTTCTTCTCCTTCACGAAGTGATCTTGTACTGCCCGGGATCAGTAATAAGGGCAAAGAAAAAACAGATTGTGGATCTGTTTCTAATAGAGAAACAATTGACCTTTCCAGTGACAGACAACAGAACAGAGGCACTAAAAGATTGGTAAGACATGGCTGCATATCCCCACATGGAATAGCAGCTAGAGCAAGACAAGCTGCTGATACCATTTCCAAGGAAACAGTTAGTGTTGAACAGGAGCTAGCTCCTGAACCTGCGTCTTTGATTGGTATTAGACAGATTGTTTCTGGAAACGATATTCATGGAAGAGCTAGAGGCAAAAGACCAGAAAGTTCGCACACCAGGTAATATGTTTTCCTTATCTTGTATTAGATTTTTATATGGATATCGAAAGGATGATCCCTTCTTGTTTTTTTTTTTTTCGGTGCTATAAGAGTTTCTATTCTTTGTATAGGGTGGCGAGTAGAGATGGCTTGGAGGGGTGGGTTACTACGGGTAACCGGAAATCAAATATGGACCATGAAATGAATCAGAGGGATGAGAGTGACACACGTGGAATTTGTAGTTCTGTTTCCAGACTTGATGTGCATGAAACGGGTGTAGTGGAAAGAGAATCTAGACAACAACGACGGCGGAAAAATGGATTTGCTACTTCAAGGGCTTCAAATGAGCCAGAAGTTACTGTTACTAGATCTTCTGGGGAACCATCTAGTTCAAGGCCACCACGAATTCAGAACCATCAAAGATACAGCACCCAAGTGTTGGAAATTGAAGATTCTTCTCCTGAAGTACGGGTCTTCCAGGGTCCTAGACATATTGACAACGCTGTATCTGATGTGAATGTAAGACAAATAGAAGCAGATGAGATTTTGGCCCGTGAATTGCAAGAACAGCTCTACCAAGAAGAGATGTTGATCAGATCCGAGCAGGTAGATTTTCGAGCTCCCTTTCTATGTATGTCTTCTATCTGTTCCATCCTTTTATCAGTCAAGGTCTCTAATTGTTTTATTTCGACGTCATGCGTTGGAACAGATCGATTTAAACATAGCCAGGTTGCTGGAACAAGAAGAGATTCCTCTCCGTGCTTCTTCAAGTCGTTCTTCTACTCGTAATACTCGGAACTCTGATGCTGTAAGTCATGGACAAGAAACTTCCTGTGTTGGAGTTTTTCACTCGGGGTTCTTTCGATATGCTGTTTTCGGATGCGAGATTAATCATTATTAAACCTGGATGAGTTTTTTTCTAAAACTTGTACTTGAAAAGAATCTGGCTTTGGAATCATTCTGAATATCTTACATGTTGTTTTAATACCAATGGATATTAATTACAGATTGCAGCAAGCCCAGGTGGGAGAAGTCGCCTGGAAGCACGACTACAACAACAGTCTTCAAGGAGGCGACTGAATCCTCCACAGGCTCGTGCTCGTGCTCCTGTTAGAGCACCACCACGGGGTCGAGGTCATCGATTAGGTCGTGCATCTGGTTTTCTAGATAGAGCTTTGAATCTCGGTTTTTCAAATGATATGAGCTTTGATGCGGTACTCTTCAACCTCTTTATATACCGAATGTCGCTTATGTTTTTATGAAGTAATGTAAAACTAAAAGCTAAGAATCCTTTACCTTTTTCAATGTAACAGAGAATAGATTTTCTAGAGGGACTAGAGAATGCCATTGAACACTCATTCAACAATCGCAATCTTCTTCACATGGATCGTGACTTTACCGAGTATGATATCTAGTAGTTTCTTTTTCCTTATTTGATAATGATTTTTTAATATATGAAGCTTGATCATTTTAACTATTTTCCAATGCAGAGATGATTACGAAATGCTGCTAGCTCTTGATGAAAACAACCATCGACATGGTGGTGCTTCTACTCAACGCATTAACAACTTACCAGAGTCTACAGTTCAGGTAAGCTAAAAGGTTTCACTTGTAATATCCAATTTTTCATATCGAAATTTGTTTGCTAAAACTGATCGGTTTGGTGTAATATGCAGACTGATAAGTTTGAAGAAACTTGTGTTATTTGTCTTGAAACACCGACGATCGGAGACACCATACGTCATCTTCCTTGTTTGCACAAATTCCATAAAGATGTAAGGCTCCTTAACTGATTCGAATCAAAACCCCTTGTACAGTAGTATAAGATGAGAAGTTCGCAAATTAACCCCTTGTTGTTTATGAACTGTGCAGTGTATTGATCCGTGGCTAGGACGGAGTAAAGCATGCCCGGTTTGCAAATCCTCGGTTACTTGATAAGGCTTTCAAAAACGCAACGGAGAATGTTACAAATTTATCATTTCACCCTTCCAAGCAGGTGGATCCTCTGGAATCGTCTTCCTGGTAAGCCAAACAACATTCTTCGCCATCGAATTTGAAACTCATGAAACCGTTTTTACTACCGTTTACGCGGGAGGAAGTAACTTTGTATCTCTCTGTGATTATTTATTTAGTTGGGTTTAAATTTTTCTAGCTAAAAACTTTTTCGTAGATTAAGTAGTCGGTTTTAATATCATCACTTTAGTTTTTTGGTCTTGATTAAACCTATATACTTTTTGAAATAGCGCACAAAGGCTTCGTTATAATAAAGTAATATTGATTATTCAAAAGTCGAAAGTCTATATAATAAACTTATTAATTCACTTGATTTTAAAGACTTTTTAAGTCACTTGATTTACACAAAGAAGCAAATACATACATTAATCATATCAAAGAGGGAAACAGATTAATAAAAGAGAAACGACAGACATTTCAGTTATTATTTCATAAAGAATTAAACTTATGCATGGGGGATTATTGTATAGCTCCTCGTCAATGCGCACAACGGTTTATCAAATTCTCAGTGACCTCCACCGCCGATTCCTCCGCCAACTTCTTTACCGGCTCCTTCACCAATTTCTTTTCCGGCTCCTCCACCAATTTCTTTACCGGCTCCTCCACCAATTTCTTTACCGGTTCCTCCAACGATTCCTCCAATGGCTCCACCGTCAACTCCCTTGTCACCTCCCTTACCGGCTCCGCCGTCAATTCCTTTACCGACTCCGCCGTCGATCCCTTTACCGACTCCACCTTCAACTCCTTTACCGACTCCCCCGTCGACTCCTTTACCGAATCCTCCTTCAGGTCCTTTACCGGCTCCGCCTTCAACTCCTTTACCGAATCCGCCGCCACCAAAACCACCGCCTATCGCGCCACCAAAGCCTCCAATACTGCCTCCAATCCAGCCGCCACCTGATCCAAAGCCGCCTCCACCGCCTAAGTCGCCGAAGCCTTTCTTAAAGCCCTTCTTGTGGAGGAGAGGACGAGGGTGAGGGTGGGGAAACAAGTGCTTGTCATCACCCAACTCTGTTTTACCCATAGTAAAATCTGTGAACAAAGCAAGTAGCAAAACAAACACAGAAGCTCTACAGGCGATAAGACCCATGATTATTGGATACTTGAAATGTTTGTAGTTAAAATATTAGAAGCTTATTTTGAAAGAGGATGTTTTTTGTATATGACATTGCTTTGTTGCATGAGTAGTATATATATATCGAGACCAGAGAGAGACTTAAGAGATCGTGACAGTATAAAAGCACTTTCGTCAACTGTACGTAAGACTTAAATAAAACGGTTCACATGGTTTCCTTCCTACAAGAGGAGACAACTCCGGTTTTGTTTGTTTGTTTGTGTATTCTTGATAAATGAAACCGAGGGATATATATTCAAAGATCAATGGCGTTTACAGTGAGGCTAATGATAACTGGAATCACAGAGAAAAACATAATCCTTCTATTAAGAGAGTGATCACACCATGAATTGGCAAGAAACCAGTATTTAAGGAGTAAACCAAAACAATATGGCCGGTTCAACCTGTACAATAACTAGGATATTTAATTGATGTTGAGTAACAGTTCAATTTCAATGATGATACAATTCACATTCACCGGTCATTGGACAAGTTTTTATGTGTCATCGTCTGCCCAACTGCCAATATTGATCTCATCCAACACAAAGAGCAAAATATGATGCAAAATATAGTTGAAGAATTGGGGAACCTATGACACCAATTATTATATACAGTTCGTTCGTCGAATTATCTCTTTGCTCACACTCGCACCATTAGAAAACTCATCATATGCTTTACTTCTTCCAAACAAACAAATTAAGCAAGAATTTTGGGCCGTTAATACTATATATTTGGGAGACAGAGCCTCGGTCGACTATATTTCATATGGTGCTAGCAGATAAAGGGGTGAATATATAATGGGCCGTTAGATGGGTCTTTTTCTTAATAATAAGATTAATGTGGCCCATCGTTGTCAAAATGAAATTGTAATCTTAATAAAAAGTTTGGGGGATTTATGTAATTACTTGACTTGTTGGGTAAGTATCTTAATATTCGATAAATCCAGAATTTTTCGATTTTTATTAGACTTGTGAAAAGCGAACTCTTCTCTCAAAATCAATCCTCTAATAAGATTTGCTCGATACCTCGATTGAGGTTACCCCCAAGCTCAGTTCTTGTTCCTCCGTCTGATCAACACTCTTTCTCCACCGCTAGGGTTTTTTTCTTAACTTCCGATTAGGATAATGGCCGCCGCGATGGTTAGTTCGGCCGGTGGGTTACTGGCAATGCTCAATGAACCCCATCCTTCCTTGAAACTCCACGCTCTCTCCTATCTCAACAGACTGGTTGACCAATTTTGGCCCGAGATCTCCACCAGTGTCCCAATCATGTATTCTCTCTCTTCCTCAGTTTTTTACTTATACTCTTAGGTTTTTTTTTCTTCGCTTTGTTAATTTCGCTCGATCTGTTTGCTTGCTCGATCGGTGAAGCTTGTGGGATTTGGGTTGCTTTCCCTTTCTTATTTAGGACTTAGGATGCTTGAAATTTCAAGTTTATAGTTAGTCATGGACAGTTGTGACGAGGTGAAGTTTGATGGGCAAAGCAAAGCGTTCGAGTTACAACTTACAAAACTTTATTTCATTGCTTTACTTAAATTTTGTAGATTCTGAATAGACCCATTGTTTGTCTGAGTTGAGCACGCTCCCGTTTGGACACCATCTGGATATTTTGTTCCCTTTGAAAGTTGTAGAAACTGTATTTATCGAGATCTTACACTGTTTTGTGCTGCTTGATATCTTGATTCTGAGACTTTCTTTCTTTTTTCTTTTTTTTTTTCTGGTAGAGAGAGCTTATACGAAGATGAAGAGTTTGATCAGCATCAACGACAGCTTGCTGCCTTGTTGGTCTCCAAGGTAAAGTTACATTTTTTTTTATCTAACTTACATGATGAAAAATTGCGTACATAATACTGACCACATGTGTTAGTAGAGTAAGGTGTGCAATTTACACGAATACATTATGGTTGTTTCTATTAAAAGCTGATAGAGGGTGGTAGACGTTTAGAGCTTGACTTTCTTGTAATCGAGTTATGTGATTGTACACTTGTTTTCTTATGATGATTGTTATTTTGTCTTACCTCAGGTTTTCTATTACTTGGGTGAGCTTAACGATTCATTGTCCTATGCCCTTGGAGCTGGATCCTTATTTGATGTGTCAGAGGATTCTGATTATGTTCATACTCTACTAGGTAAGGAGGATATTACGCTCATACATAAAGCCAAGATAAATGGCAAGATTAAGCAAACACTTTAGAGTTTTAGACGAGATATTTTCTAACTAATAAGACTTGCACATCCATTTTTCTTCTAATACGACTTGCACTATCAGCCATCTTATCATTTCTATAAGACTTGCACATCCGTCTATCTTTTAATAAAATTGTTCTCCGAGAAAGTCATATCGCAAAGACATGATAAGATGGTTGATACTGACCTGACTGCTTCTAATTGTTTGATGTATAATATTTACTCATCGGATGCTTCTTTCTTCGATTTCAGCTAAAGCAATAGATGAGTATGCTATTCTTAGATCAAAGGCAGTCGAGTCAAGTGAGGTTGTGGAAATCGACCCGAGATTGGAGGCCATCGTTGAACGAATGCTAGACAAGTATGGGATACCTAATTTAATTATAATTTGTCTGTCTTTTTAGTTATTTAATTTTACTCACATGATTTTCTGTTTTGCAGATGTATCACTGATGGAAAGTATCAACAAGCCATGGGAATTGCTATAGAATGTCGGAGATTGGATAAGTTGGAGGAAGCAATTGTAAAGAGCGAAAATGTGCAGGGAACATTATCTTACTGCATCAATGTTTCTCACTCTTTTGTTAACCACAGAGAATATAGACATGAGGTGAGTTTGGTGGCCACAGAACTGGAATTTAATAGGTGTAATATGTTTATGACACTATTGAGCTGATAATGATACATCTTCTTTTATCTTTCCTTGCAAATATGGTGTTCATACAGACCTTATATTGTTTTTTCTTAACCATTGTTGTTGTAGTTCATTGCATCCGTTATGTCATATCCCAAAATATTTTTGTAGGTAATTTGTATTTACTGTTAACTTACAAATGATAACATCCTTACATTGTTTAATTCTTGCAGGTTCTTAGGTTGCTTGTTAATGTATACCAGAAGCTGGCTTCTCCTGATTATTTGAGCATTTGTCAATGTCTTATGTTCTTGGATGAACCACAAGGTGTTGCAAGCATAATAGAGAAGCTTCTTCGCTCAGATAGCAAGGATGATGCTTTATTGGCTTTGCAAATCGCTTTCGATCTTGTAGAGAATGAGCACCAGGCATTTCTTATGAGTGTCAGAGACCGCCTTCCAGCTCCCAAGACCCGTCTTGTAGAAGCAGTTGAGACCTCTACTACTCAAAATGAGAACACTGCAGGGGATGTCCAGATGGCCGTTGACACTCCATCTCAGACAGTTGTGCATGAAACAGATACTGCTGACGCTGTGTACGCTGAGAGGTTAACAAAGGTTAAGGGAATTTTATCTGGAGAGACATCAATACAGCTGACCCTCCAGTTTCTTTACAGCCATAACAAGTAAGGCAGTTAATTTTGCTTATAAATTTTAATATCTTGAAAGGATATTTTGTTCTTAAGTTGTTTCTTTAAGAGAGTAACATGTTTCAGCGATGACCATTGTTTTTCTGTAGATCGGACTTGCTAATCCTGAAGACAATAAAGCAGTCCGTTGAAATGCGGAACAGTGTATGTCACAGTGCTACAATATATGCTAATGCTATAATGCATGCTGGAACGACAGTTGACACTTTTCTCAGGGAGAATTTGGTAATAGTTTACTTTCTCTATCACTTTTTTCACTTGTTTTAATGTTAATGACGTGGCATGATATTTATTCTTCTCTTCTTTTCCATTTTTTTTTTGAATTGACAGGATTGGCTGAGCAGGGCCACCAATTGGGCGAAGTTTAGTGCTACAGCAGGATTAGGTGTTATTCATAGAGGCCACTTGCAACAGGGAAGGTCACTGATGGCTCCATATTTGCCTCAGGGAGGAGCAGGTGGTGGTGGGAGTCCTTATTCCGAAGGGGGTGCTTTATATGCTCTTGGCCTTATTCATGCCAACCATGGTGAGGGAATCAAGCAATTTCTTCGTGATAGCCTACGCAGCACTAGTGTTGAGGTATTTGGCTATATCATTATTATGGATAGTCTCTCGTTATATTACCAAAATGTTAGTCTTTTGTTTAGATTTGAAAAAAATATATGATTGCAGGTTATTCAACATGGAGCTTGTTTAGGTCTTGGTTTGGCTGCCCTTGGGACAGCTGATGAAGACATATATGATGATATCAAAAGCGTGCTTTACACTGACAGTGCTGTTGCTGGTGAAGCTGCCGGCATCAGCATGGGTCTATTGTTAGTTGGAACTGCGACTGATAAGGCAAGTGAGATGCTCGCTTATGCTCACGAGACTCAGCATGAGAAGATAATAAGGTAATATGAAGTCCAGAACATGCTTTTTGTTGTGTTTGTGGGTGCATGATAATATCTTTCAATCTTTAAGTAACCAACATCTCATATTTTGTTTAGGGGATTGGCTCTAGGAATAGCTCTCACAGTATATGGTAGAGAAGAGGGAGCAGATACATTGATTGAGCAGATGACAAGAGATCAAGACCCTATCATCCGTTATGGTGGAATGTATGCACTCGCATTGGCATACAGTGGAACCGCTAATAACAAAGCCATCCGCCAACTTCTTCACTTTGCTGTGTCTGATGTCAGTGACGATGTCAGGAGGACTGCTGTTCTTGCACTTGGATTTGTCTTATACTCTGATCCAGAGCAGGTAACTCCATCTTCCTTTTGCGTCATTAACTTTTTGACACTGAAGTCTATTTTCTTTAGTGTCTTTTTTAGGGCTCTTGTGCTCACTTACACTTATTGACTAGTTGCACAATATTTTAACTGTGTAGACTCCCCGAATTGTATCCCTTCTTTCTGAGTCGTACAATCCGCATGTCCGCTATGGAGCAGCTCTTGCAGTTGGCATCTCTTGTGCAGGCACTGGCTTGAGTGAGGCGATATCCTTGTTGGAGCCACTTACATCAGATGTGGTGGACTTTGTTCGTCAAGGTGCTCTGATTGCCATGGCCATGGTGATGGTCCAAATTAGTGAAGCAAGCGATTCTCGCGTTGGAGCATTTAGGTTAGTAAAACTCTGATCTCTTTATCAATAGGAGGTAGATAATAGTTCCCTTCTGAAGACTAGTTTGTCTGATTTTTTGCAGGCGTCAACTTGAGAAGATAATACTTGACAAGCATGAAGATACAATGAGCAAGATGGGAGCAATTTTGGCTTCAGGTATTCTTGATGCTGGTGGAAGGAATGTGACGATAAGACTACTCTCCAAGACAAAACATGACAAAGTCACTGCTGTCATTGGCCTGGCTGTCTTTAGCCAATTTTGGTATTGGTACCCATTGATTTACTTCATAAGCTTGGCGTTCTCACCAACCGCGTTCATCGGTTTGAACTACGATCTCAAAGTCCCAAAGTTTGAATTCATGTCGCACGCAAAACCATCTTTGTTTGAGTATCCAAAACCAACCACGGTTGCTACTGCCAACACCGCTGCCAAATTACCAACTGCTGTGCTCTCAACCTCAGCCAAAGCGAAAGCTAGGGCTAAGAAAGAAGCAGAGCAGAAAGCTAATGCTGAGAAGTCTGGCAACGATGCTGGAAAAGCAAAAGCAGCGTCAGATGAGAAGGAATCAGACTCTATGCAGGTAAATTGCAAATTTAATTCCCAACTTCTTCGTCTAAAATGTCAATCCAAGATTAGTAAGTTTCTGTTATGGCCAATGATACTTTCTTGAACAGATGCAATCTCATGATCATGATGATCCTATCTGTTTGACTCAAAAACTAATTTAGAAATTTTCTACGTTGGCTAATGCTGCTCCTATGTTGAATATATCAGTCTAGAGTTTATTGATCATGTATATCTTCTGTGTGTTACTGGCAGGTAGATGGCACAGCTGCAACGGTGGAGAAGAAGGTTGAGCCCGAAGCGACGTTTGAGATGCTAGTGAACCCTGCACGTGTAGTCCCTTCACAGGAGAAATACATAAAATTGATGGAGGAAAGCAGATATGTACCGGTGAAGCTAGCTCCATCAGGGTTTGTTCTTCTACGAGACTTGCGTCCTCATGAGCCTGAGGTTCTGTCTCTTACTGATGCACCAACTTCAACAGCATCTCCTGCTGGTGGTGCAGCAGCTACAGGACAAGGCCAACAAGCAACCACCGCCTCGGCTATGGCTGTAGATGACGAGCCACAACCTCCACAAGCCTTTGAATACGCTTCTCCATGATTTTGTTTTTGGATTAGTGGGTAATTTGTTTTCCGTTGAGCAAACAAACAAAGAGTTGCTTTTTTTGTAATCTTGGGAGACTAGTACTAGTACTTTATTGCATTGGTTCCGACTTGTTCTTGTGTAAGCTTCTTTTTTAATTTGTCTCTTTAAATCTTAAGGTCATCAAAGTATAAACTATAAATGGTAAACAACTAAACATTATTTTGTTACCATTCAAGCAGTTCATGTAGGATTAGTAGTCTAGGGAAATAAATTTACATGAGAAAAGTTCGTGAAACTAAAATTTGTTTCAGTGATATTGTTGAACTAAATATTCAAAGAATTAAATCTTACATAAATATTCAATGGAAAAATATCTAATTTCGGTTTTGGGCCAAAATAATAAGGTTTCAAAATTTAATGTGGGTCTAAACTCCAGATGATAACTACGTTGAAGCCCAATGGATAGTATAAAAAGGTCATACGGGAATATGTTACCCACTCGCATACATAGCGCGTCGAAGCCACCGCCACGAAATCTCTGGACTATAGACTTTGGAAACCGTCTTTTTTATTAAAATTAATAAACTTGGCGCGTGAGCGGATTTTTTTTTTTTAACGAATTGAAAAAAACGCAACCGAGTTTGACTAACTTAAGAGCGTTTACGGGGGAGCCCAGCCCATGTCTGTTTTTTTTTTTTTTTTGTCAACAGCCCATGTCTGTTTTATTTCTCGTCAGATGTTTTTTTTTTTTTTTAACACTGAATACTTTATTAATTACCAGTAAGATCTCCTCAGATGTTTTTATGAGAATTTTAACACAAACAAACTTCTGTTTTAACAATTTTTTAACACAAACAAATATTAAATAAAATTTGTGATAATGATTAAATTAATATTTAAAATGAGTAGAAAAAGGTAACCAACATTTAATAATATACGACATTGAAGGCATATGGTAACACACTTGACTACTTTATTACAAACGACTAATAATAACAATTTCTCAACCTCGAAAAACAATTTTCATACTTAATTAACCGCAATTTGTATCTTATTCATCCTTCTTCCGTTGGACAAATTACAAACAAAACACATTGCGATATAAAGAGTAAAGTGAATGTACCCTAACAAAACAAAACCGCTTTGTATAATTGTAACAGGCAACTAAAAGTTGGTTTGATCAAAAGTTAGCAAAAAAGAAGACTTTATACTAACATTTTGGAACGAAGTTTATTGGCTACATACAAGAGATGGCTGATGTTTGTAGTTGGATAGTGTTGAAGTAACTTCATATTCGATGTAAAATCCCCAGCGATTAGCCTCCTCCTCACCAGTACCAACATCGCACAACATATCCCTAGTAGGCTTTCCTGCAATAATAAGATCAACGGAGTTCTATCATTCAAGCAACCATTTGTATATTCTACAAGTGAAACATTGAAAAATGAGAGTCTCTTCTGTATCTACTGATTTGATTTCAATCAAGTATACATCAATCTTACCAGGGGACCTTCGGGGTCGCTTAAGAGTGCATCCCATATGTGAAGACTGTCAAAGAAACTAAACTCTTGTGTAAGGAGGAGAGTGATCCACCTAAATGCATAGAACTGTGGGTTTACCTGTAATCCAATTCAGTCTATACAATGTCATTCTCAGAGGCTCCAATCCATTGTTATTATGTTCTAGATGAGAGATAATGAATACTAAATAAGCTAAGTGGATCACTGGAAGTTATCTTCCCCACAAAATCGATGTCTTACTTTGGTGGTGATCTCTAGATGACGCCAAAGTTCCTCATCATGCTTCTTAACAAGTTGCGAGAGCCTTGTTATTGCAGATCGGATTCCCACCACACTATTGTCAAGTTGTTGACAGTAGAAGTCTCGAAATCCACTCAACAGTTCAACAAAGCAGAAGAATGCATCTGCTTCAGCGTGGGACTGCATAGTGTAAACAGAGTTAATATAAAATTGACTGAAGCTCATGACACAAGAGCACAAGCAAGATTGCAAAAAAAGATCATACACGCACCAATCTTCTAAGAAAAATATTCAAAGAGTTCAGTTTCATACTAATCGATTACACAATTACACGGTTCTTTCCATTTGCATTTCTGTAAAATAGCATATAGTAAAAACATCTTGATAATTTTTTTACTTAAGATCAACTGACACATCTTGAAAATATTAAGGGTCTAGACTGGCACTGTTACCTTGAAATTGTATACCCTATCACGTGACAGTAGTTTAAAGAGTATCAAAGAAACAAAAAGAGTCTACTTACGGAACTATCTTCGTCAGGGTCGTTACGAAATACATAAAAGATAGGTGCTAAAATTTCGTTCATCCCTTGAACATATCTGATGCCTTGATTTAACTTCGCAAATACAAGCAATATATTCTTCATAGATTCCTAGACATGTAAATGGAAACGTCATTGAGCTTGAGTAATCAACAGTAGGTGAAAATTTGCTAATGAGAACACAAAACGGTTACCTGATTAGAACGCGCAAACGATGATTCACCGGAGAAAAAGGGTATGTCTGGATGTGTACGTTTGACATCTCTGTCTATTTGTTCTATGGTCTCTGTATCCTACATTAATACCATAACATTTAATTATGTCCTTAAGCAATGCACTGAGGTCTTTCTAAAAGATTTTAACAAGGAAAAACCTGCCATGAATGCAAGAAGTACCTGAAAGTATGTATTCCAGATGCTCGCCTTCCCTAGGCTTAAAGGATGGTCCTCGTCAGTTATTCTGGACCGCGCAAGCATGCATCGACTATCACTCTTCAGCTCATAATTGTCAAACCCCCTTGACCTCACCATTTTCCATGTGATTTCTGACTAACTACCACAGAATCATTTAGAGGTACAAACACAATTCAAGAAATGATAGTTGTGTACAGAAGCTTTCTAGACGAGAAAAAGGACTTACAAAGTTCAAGTTTTTACAAACAGCGAGGATAATACACTCGTGACAAATCAACTTAAATAGACATAGCATGCAAAACTGACAATAACTCCTAGGCAAGAAACAAAAGAGAAGGATCACTTACAGGACTCGTCAGAAGCTCATCCTTATAGTGCTTGTATTGGGATCTCTTTTGTTTCAACTCAGTTGACCAGAGTGAACGTTCAGGTGGCAAGTAACCAAGCAAAAGCTGCAACGAGAATCATATTTCAATGGCCGCGATCATAACAGACTCTCTCAGTCTCAGTTCAATGCATTGTTGCATTAACACGAAATAGATTCTGATTTATAAACAAAACCAAAATCATGATTATTGTAATACCTACCTTCCAGACAGTAGAACGTATCCCAGGAGAATCCGGCAAACTCTGTAAAGCTAAACTTCTCAGTTCCTTCATGTTGATCACCTTCTTCGATAACTGTAACAAAACCAACAACGGAGAAGAAAACAAAAACATTCAGACCGCAACGGGCTGGTGGAAGAATCTGAAATTTTGCATTGATAAACCAAAAAAAACAGGAAGGTTGCATTGACCTCCGCTGAGACATGAGCCTGGCGGGAAAAGTCCTCGGCGGAAGGACCAACGGAGTTTCCATATTCGCCACCACCGCCAGAAATACTGCTACCGTTCCTCGGCCTAGGCGACGGCGATGGAACCGAAGAAGCGGTGGAAGAAGGCGGAGGAGCAGAATTAAGCCTGGGAGCAACGGAAATTGATTGTGCCTCTTCCTTCATCTTAGTGACGGGGGAATGGCGGTGGAGACCGTCGTCGTAAGAAGACGGCGGAGGAGGAGTAGACCACATGGTGCTATTCAACCATTCCGGTACCTTTTTCCTCACCATATCTAGGGTTTGATGGATCGATCAATCGATTTGGAACTCGGGAGATTCAATTTACGAGGTTTCGAGAAGAAGATTTGATGAGAAAGGGAGAGAAAGGTTCTGTTCTGCGAGTCGGTGATTTAATGGAAGTTCGTGTTAACTTTTTCTACTGTTCTCTCTCTGAGAGAGAGAGAGAGAGAGAGAGAGAGAGGAATCGGAGAAATTAATATCGAATATAGCCTCCATATTGTTGATTATTTATAAATGTATCCCTTTCTTTTTATTAATTACACTTACCCCATAAAATCCATAGTATAATTAATATATCATTTGTAAGATATTAGATTTTTAATTATCAGGAATTTGCACCAAAAACATAAACAAAGAGTTACCATCCTTATCGAATAGTTGTAATTAATATCGAATAGTATTTTCTTATCGGAGAAGCAAAGAGTTGAGTTAAGGTAATTTTTGTGTTCAACAGAATAATAATCTAGTCTAGGATGGTAAAGAACATAAATAAAGCAACAATAAGTAAGATTTTTATGGTGATATGCAAACACAAGACTAATCATCATGTACAAGTGATGGACCCGATTAACCTTGGCGACTGGTCTTTGTTCTCATGCGATATACCTCTGCTTCACATACATTCGCCATGTGTTTCGTTGTCTTCAATAATACACTTGCCAACCACATATATACTAACATCTACTTAACCATAATCTTATCTTACTCAAATCTTAGCTTAAGAAACTTATTATATTGTATATCCCTATATTAGTAAAAGAGAAGTATAAAAAGTGCTTTCGGATCGGGTCAATTTAAGAAAATTACCCGAAATTTATAATTGAATCTTTTAAAGTTGGATAAATTAATGGGTTTGGATACATACATCGGATACTTTCCAAATCTAATTTTAGGATTGTATTATTTCCATAACTAATTATAGGATTTACTAATATTTCTCTAATTAATTTAATAAAATCTATTTAAAAAATCTTATTCTTCTTTCACTTTTATTTAATATTATTTTTAATTTTTTGATATTATACTATATAATATAAAAATTTAAAAAAATTTAACTTTTTTTGCATATGTTGCAATTTGAATTTTTCAAAACGGGCATGTAATACTCAAATACACTCGGTTAAATATTTTGGACAATGGTTTAAAATCATTATAAGTATGACCAATATTAAAACCATTGTTACATGAGCATATTTAAAATTTCAAATAGTTTCAAAATATCATAAGTAAAAGGTTCAAATATATAAAAATTTAAAAATTTAAAATATTGAAATATTTTTTTGAAGACATAAATGTAATTTTGGAGACATAATTTTTATTGATAAAATATATTATATATCAAACTATGTAAATTTTAGATAGTTCATGGGTCGTTTGTTAAAATCACAATTATAATGATAAATCGAGTTACGAATAATGTTTTTTTACGAAATGAATTAGGTTACGGGTTGGACCTTCAAAAAATATATTGTATATGTAATTTTTACGTATATTCCTACTTTTACTACAAAAATGGTCAAAATGAATAATTTATCGACAAATATTATTTTCATACTGTTAAATTTTCACCGTGTTTTTAATTGTATCAAAACTCAGTATATGATTATTTACTCGCTTTTTCTTTATTATTTTATTTAAACTTATTATACAAATATATGATTTACCATAATCGACTGCATTGTAACAAAATTAAAATATAACATATTCTAATCCGTTAAAAGTTATATATATGTAATTATTTCCCCCGCGCTGTAGCGCGGGTCCGAACCTAGTAATAATAATAATGTACGCAACTTTCAATTTAAAAAACACTCACTAGTGACCCACCTGAGCCGCCTTCTTTTTCTCTTCCATGCCTGTGGTCTGTGGAGATTTTTTGGCATACTCCAATCTCCTTTCCCTCCTTCAATGGAGATTTAACCCCTTTGCCAGATTCGCTGCTATGTGCGGTCTGGTCTCAGGAATATCATGACTTTGTTCTATTTCCGACCATTGTATGCAAAAGAGCATGGCAAGATTTATACTGGAAAACGCCATGAATGAACAAAACTCTCAAGCATCTGAAGGCTGGGAGCCTGGGATGTTAATGTTATTCTCGTGCACGAACCTGAAGGCACCTAACTCATCTACTATATCACCAATAATCACCACATGAACAACTTCCATCTTTGAAATGATGAAACTGTCTTGCATCTCTCAGTAAAATACCTCTTTGGCTGATCTTACTAACATATTTCATTAAAGAATGGCAATCTCCGCAGATTCTAAGGTTCTTAATGATCCTTATCGTGGTTCCAGGAGCAGTTCTTAGAATTCCAAGTGTAAGAGCCAGTTTCTCACTATGGACTCCCGTAACATGTTCCTTCTCTTCTTCTTCAATGTCATGAATCGACCAATCAGCTCCTGGAATGTATCCTATCTCAGTCGCGAGCGATATGATCTCCTCAAGCTTCAAACGTATCTCTTGTGTCTGCTTATGAGTACAATCACCAGCTGCAAATTTGTTCAGTTGACAGTCCAATTCGATGTAACTCCATCCCAGGGATCTTTCTTTGCCTGTCTTCTGATATGGAACCCTTCTTTCCTCTACATCTTGATACTTCCCATTAGCCAGATGTGTTTTGTCTAAGAAAATGTAACTACCACGAAGCTCTGGATCAAGTTCCAAAAGATTCTGTGACACAATTTCAGTCCTTCTATTACTCCTGTGCGCCTTGCTAGCACGATAGAGTGCAGCCCATGTTGTAAAATCAGGATTTATCGGCATATTATCTACAAACTTATGTGCTTCGTTCAACTTCCCTGCTCTACCTAGCAAATCAACGACTAACACATAATGTTTTAATGTAGGTTCAATCGCATAGTCAAGCCTCATGCTATCGAAGAAATTAAGTCCCAGGTCTACTTCGCCCGAGTTCAAGCATGCAGTTAGAACTGCAAGAAACACTACCTCATCTGGCTTCTCTCCTGCATGCACATAACAAATTAAAGAAATTAAAATCGATGAAATAAAGGACAAAGAAATGAGAATAAGCAAAATTCTTAAACTAGACAAAAATTACTACCGGAATACATCATTTGTCTGAAACATTGGATAGCTTGATGAAAGCATCCATGTACCGCCCAACCTTGTATCATAGCAGTCCACGAAAGAATATCCTTATGATTCATATTACTGAACACAGTACCCGCACAGTCAACTTCCCCACATTTCGCATACATGTCAATGAGAGCTGTCCCTATAGCTCTATCCAATCTAATCCCATTATCCAAAATATAAGCATGAATTCTTATTCCTGATCCAAGAGCACCAGATTTTGAACATGCAGACAGCGCAGCAGCAACTGTGTATTCATTAGGTTTCAAGCCCTTTTCCAGCATCTCAAAATAGGTTGAAATCGCAGTTTCATAGTAGCCATTTTGGGAAAACCCATTGATTAAAGTCGTCCAAGTAACAACATGTTTCTCAGGCATCAGTTCAAAAAGCTGCTTTGCTCTGTTCAACTGGCTGCAGTCAGCATAACCCTTGATCAAAGTACTCCAAGATCCTGAATTTCTCTCTGGCATGGATCTAAAAAGTTTTGTAGCCATTTGCATATCCTTGGCTCGACAATAACCTTTAATCAAAACATTCGATAGCAAAGTACTCTCTTTTTTAATTCTATCAGGACTTTCATCGAACACTTGGAAGGCATAATTCAATTGTCTGGTCTTGGCGTACATGTCAACCAAAGATACCCTTACGAAGGAATCACAGTCAACGAAATTCTTCAAAGTGGCGGCATGAAGAGCCCTACCCAACCATCTAAACCCTAGTTTGGAATTAGACTTGAGCACAAAGGGAAAAGTTAGCCGATCAGGTCTCACACCAAGCCTCAACATGAGGATGAAATGACGGACAGAACTCGCGGAACGAGCATTCTCCGTCAAACCACGGATCAAAACATTGAAAACAAAGAGGTTCTTCTCTTCAAAATTTCTGAAAATCGAGAGGCAATAATCCGGGGACTGGAGAAGCCCAGAGCAAGAAACCAGCTGAGCAGCGACGCGACTACTGAGGACGCCGCGACGGAGAATCTGGGCGTGAACACGGCGGAGACTGACAGTGTCTTTACAGGCGTGTATCAGAGATATGAAGTGAGACTCGTCCGGTGAGGCTCGACGATCGGCCGGAAGGTGTATTTTGGCGGGAGAAGATTTCGGTTTGAAAAGAACGGAAAGCGATTTCATCGTGTACCCGAATACGCGCTCATCTCAGACATTCGCTGGTGGCGCAAAGACTCTCTCTTATATTTTGGTCTTAACCGGATTATACCGTATTGCTCTATATTTTTCAAACCGGTTAAGTTGCGAACCGCTTCAGACGAAGGGGAAATGGATCGAGTGGCACTTTACCTTAATCGTAAAAGAAACAAGGAGTGATTGAAGAGATTTCTAGTTCTTGTCTCCAAATTTTGCACTTATTAAGACAAAATAAAAAATAATGTCACTTGCCAGTATTATTCATAGTAATAATTTTTTAAGTTTTCATTCATTATTTGATACAAGAAGACAATGCAACGATTTAAAGAACTCCAAAGAAAGGGTTGTTGATGGCGGAATTGAGCTCTGTTCCAGCTGAGTTAATAATGGCTGAATCGATCTTGTCTCTAGGTAAGAACAGGAACTCTCCTCCTTCAATTTTCTCAAACCCACATAGCTCCATGAACTCTATGCCCCCTCTCAGTGAACCAACCCTGTCCTGTTTACAATAAACCATAATTAGTAAGACACATGACTATCAAATCTAATTTGTTGACTAATCAAGTAAACCTCCTTGCTGCGCATCTCTATGGCAGATTGTTTTTACCTGAAATGTTTGGTTTGTGAGTCTAATTTTCCGGAATTTTTCTTCATCTGGATTCTTAGCAACATTTCCCATGTAAGTCAGCAGAGTCTGGAATGCTCTCTTCACTTTAGCATCCTCCTCCTGAGTCAACAAGTAATTACTGTTATTGTCAAAGTTTACTCAATCCTCCCACAATTTCACCCAAATTTCCCTACCTCATTTCTTTTTTATTGCTGGTTGCAATCTGAGTTGCTAAATGTTGAATGTATTTACCTTGTGGGTTTGCTTAAGAGACCTTAAGCATTCTCGCATTTGATCAGTTTTTGTGGCAGGTCTAATTGGCAACGAACACTGCAAAATCATGTCTTTATAAGATAAGGGTATAAGATAGATAATAAATGCAACTTGCTTATAGAAAATATTTAATTTACCTTCTTCTCCTCCACAACTGGCACTGAAGGTTTTGCCGCTGCAGTTGCAGGATCTTCCGGAGGCAATCCGAGTTTCCGTCTTCTTTCAGCCTGTTAAAATGTAAACATGAGCATTCAGGATAGATAAAGTAATGGAAAACGTATGTAAAATCTACTGCACTAAAGATACCTTGTCTTCTTCAAGTTTTTGGCGGATCTTTTCCCTAGCTCGTTTTTCTTCTTCTTTCTCAGCTTTGCGCAAAAAGGCTATACTGAAATACACAACCAACAAGAAGTCACTTTTAATGAACAACAACAAAAATAAGAATAAGCTGGGCCTGACATTATATAACCAGAAACAAAACATACCGCTTTCTTTCGTTTTCTTCTTCCATCCGCTTTGCTTCTAAGAGTTCCTTGCCAATCCTAATTCGCTCCTAAACCAAATACTTATATTTTAAAAGATGATAACAGAAGATTGCTTTTCAGCCATGACACAATAAGCATCTAACATTTCCTACAAGCACATCCTTATTTCCTTACTATTGTACCAAGAATACTATGTATACTTGCACAGAAATTATAGCCGGTATAGCCTTATGCAGGCAATGAACTCAGGAGTAAAGAGCAAAACTTAATTTTAACAGCAGAGATGAATCATCGTAAGCTGAAGTAATTGCGGATAACAAATATTAAAACAGGAGAAAAACAAAACCTTCTCTCTTTCACGTTCCATTCGTTTTTCTTCCTCTTCTTTCTTCTTCCGTGCACGTTCCCTAAGATGTGGAACAGCAAAGAATAAGGGATATATAATCCGACTTTAAAATAATCATCTTCCAGGGTTATCATAGAAGTCAGACAGTTAACTGTTATAAATCAACATGTGGACATTTGTCATGCAATCAATTGAAAAACAACTAGAAATTCAAGGCTATGCATGATATGTGTAATGTCATTGGTGCTAGGTGCATGCTACAAAAGAAAAAAAGATGGACAGAAAAAAACAGAATACTCATAGAACCTTAATTCCTGTGCTTTTATCTTCACTTCTTCTGGCGTAAGAGCAGGTTTAGCAGGCCCAACATTAGAGTTGGCAGGTACCTAGGTGTACAATGAACAACATAGGGCATTATAGTAACTGAAGGAATGAAGTAATTCTAAGATCACATATCATGCATAATACAAACATAATATAAGATTGTGTCAAGACAGTTCAGAACAAAAATTCTGCTTAAAAGAAACTATTGACAAGACATCCACCTTTGGCAATTCATCTACGTCAGGATCATTCTCATGCTCCACCACCCAATTAACTGCAGCTTCAAGACTGGCATTACCTGATGAAATGAAAATGAAACAGTATATGAAAAATAAGTGAAGTAAGGTTTACCAAAGATCGTAATAGGAACCCACAATCAAAAGTGCAAAATAGAAAAACATGACACACTAGAATTTTACCAGAGTAGTGGAGTGCTCGAGTAGCGCGAGCTTTAGGGAAGCCCATCGCTTCTAGCTCCTCAAGAATGTTTTTGTCAACATCTGGAACAATCATCTCTGCAGAGAGATCATAAGAAAAAAAGTTGAAGTCAGATTCAGAATCATGCATTACATACACATTAAATATGGCACTGTACCTTCAGCAGCCTCTCCACTACCACTAGGATTATCGTCAATATCCATAGAAACCTTAGGAGCTTCCAAGCTGATGGGTTTTACCGTCTCCAGTGTCTTATCAACAAACTCAGTATGCCCTGTTCTTTTTGTGTGCAAATCGCTTTCCTTCACAATGTAAAAGGAATGAGACAAACAATCAGAAATAATCAAAATACTAGAGCATAGTTTATTTTTTAGTGTATAGACATAGTAAAAACAGATCAGTAAAGGTTTACTATTCTTAAGACACTTCAGTAGAAACCAAATTGCAGAAACCAAAACTCCACAAGAAATGAAACCAATGAACTCTGGTAAAAGCACCAAAGCATATCAGTTCAACCAGAGGAGAAAGACAATACAGCAGCTTTAAGCCCAAAAGAATTGAGATCTGACATCAACAGTGGGAGAAGAAACCAAGAATTGGAAGAAAACTTTAAACTTCACACTCTAATTAAACCAAATCAGCGGGAACACACATGAAAAGACTCAGTTTCAATGAAGACTCAAGTCAAAACTCATCAACTCGAAACCCCAGATCAGTAAAGGTTGTAAAAGACGAAGCAAATCGAGATCGCAGAGTCAAAAGCGTTAAAACAGTGAATAAACATCGAAATTACATGTAGAAAACTCGAAATCCCGAAAAAAGAAAACCCAAGGAGATCTGTTTGTAACTTCTAACCACCACCAACACAAACCCATCAAGAAAAAAATGAAAGAAAGCGATAAAAATCGAAGATCCGTACAGTTTTAGAGCGACAAGGCTTGCTGCAAGTAGTACAAACGAGATTGAGCACGGCCTCAGTGGACTCGGCGAAATTGGAGTGAGAGGTGAGCTCAGCATGCTCCTGAGCCTCCTCCACGGACTTCAGCAGCGCACCACAATCGCCACACTTGAGCGATACTCCTGCCATGGTTACGATCTCTCTTCTCTGGAACTGCTGCTTTCACACACTCGATAGTATTTGTCCCTTTAATTGGGGAAGTCCGTTCGTTGCTTGGGCAGAGAGGAAGACGTAGGGCCGGTTTAATCGTTTCAAGTACCGGTTCAATTGTTTTCGGTTCTGAAGTAGAAAAAATAATAATCCAATCGATTAAGCTTCGGTACGCAAAGTAACGGTTTGTAGTAACCGGTACACTTCCGTTAAGATCATAATCACAACAGTTTGAATCGGACGGTCAATATTGCTCGAACCGCTCCATAGGAAAAAAAAAAATACCCGCCCGGAATAGGATGGCTGGATGGGCACTATGAGCTCAAACGGACGACAAGTCTTTCTTCGGCTCTGAAAGGAGCAAAAGCTTGAGCCAAATGTAGCAATACCTGTTTGAGAAGCAGCACCGACAAGATTGAGATTTCTCAACCACATCTGCTTGTAACTTTTGTCTCTTTTAGTATATGGACAAATGGAATGTAACTCGGTTGAGAGGCTCAAATATTTTCAGACATGTTTGTGATGATACATATATAATGAAGCTTTCACGACTCCGAAACATCATTAATATAATAAGAAGAAGAACAAAATTAATGGTATTTGATCTAATGTGATCGTCAAAAACTTTCCCAGCAAAAGCTGTAGAGAAGAAGATCAAAAACTGGTTTTCTTCTTTTCTTTTTCAGTATAATGGAAACAAAATAATCTCAGTCTTGTGGGAAGATCCGTTCATAGAATAAGATATACGCTTCAGAATGCAGAACCTTTTCCCACGAAACCTGACGAACATATGCATCGCTTACGTTATACCACGTCGTTAAAGAGGAATCAGTCTCTTTAACTCGCTGACCACCTCTAACATACGCCACGTAATGACCTCCTCTCATCGTTCCTGAATGCTCCACCAATCCCGCCAGTCTGTAAACGGGTGGGTCTTCTTCCTTACATCTGAAATAACAACAACATAAAAAAAAAACAAAGATACGATTTAAAATGATGGAGGTTTAGTTAAAAAGTTATATCAAAATGTGGTGTTGCAGAAGATAAGAGATGATACCTTGAGTCCATATATTGTCGGAGATCAATGACCTCTTTGAAAGCAACATGACCATTTAACTTACTTAGCCTACCACGCAAATCTTGGCTGAATCGTTTTAGATGGATGGTTAAGACAGGTGGGGCTTTGTTTATAAGTACTCTTTTAGTTGCATCTCTCTTTACTGTGATCAGATTCTCAGAATCTTCGTCTTCATCTTGAGCTCCTTTGGAATCGCTTTCATTAGCTGAGAGAGAACTTGTAGCTTTTCTTCCATTCGTGCTATGATCCTTGGCACTACAACTATCACTTGTTTCTTGCGTAACAGCCAAAACATCAGTTTCTCCAGAAACTCCATTTCCAATTTCATTTTCATTTTCTTTCAGCCATCCGTTGCTACTGTTACTTGATCTTGACTCATCTTTTTTGGATTTTTGCTTTTCTTTCAACCGCTGGAGTTTCAGGTTCTTTGAACAGTTCTCGCAGTGCCATGCATTGTCATCCGATAAAATCTCAGGCTTTGTGAAATGAGTTAAACACCTCTCTACAGACACCGGTGTATCTGAGTCATCGATTTCTTCAGGATCAGACTCGCTGCTAAACGCCATAAAACCAACTCCTGAAGCTTCAGCCTTGGAAGGAGGTCCAAAAACAGGTCCTTCGGTCATCTCGGGCTCATCAAATAAACCGCCAAAATCAACAAAATCACTGTTTTGTGGTTCATGATCACCAGTAACAAATGAAGATGAAGCCTCACCTTGCGCAACCGTTTTATCATCACAGGATATTTCTTTGTATGGCATGTATAATATCTGTGAATCTGCAACCATCAAAGGAAGCTCTTCCTCGTCCCAAGGATTCATCGAGGAAGAACTTTCTCCTATACCAGGATCACCACTGATGCAACTAGCTTGATTGATTTCAGCAGAAATACCACTTGTAACCGGGCATTCATCAGATTGCGTAGCTTGTACATCTTTTTCATCCAAACTGGCTTCCACCTTTCCAACTTCTTCATTATCTTGCATCAGCCTCTCTGTGTTACGTTCCAAAGTCTGATCACCTGATGAAACTGAGGTATTGGCCGGATTCTCTGAAACTGGAACAATTTGATTAGTCTCAGTTGTTGAGACATAATCAATACCATCTTTTGGCATATCCGTATTCGTCTCATCTCCAGAGGTTTCTGGTCCAATAATATCCAACCAGAAGCTATCGAAACCAGTATCACTTTGTGTTGCACTTTCTGAGGCCTCTTTATTGTCAACGGTTATAACTGGAGGAGTCTCTAAAACCGGACCATTATCAAGGTGTGCAAAACTAGAACAGGATGTATCCGAATCAGCTAGGACAACCAAAGCTTTTCCAGGAGAATTCGGTTCCGAAAGAGTCTTACTTGGGAGAACTTTTGAAACCTTACTTACCTTTGACACATTCTTAGGGACTCTTTTTGGTGGAAGCTTAGTTTTTTTTGCTCGAGAAATAGTTTGTGGCTTTTTCGGAGGGGTTTTCTTGAACGGTACGGGTAAGGAGAGATCCAAAAATGGCTCATAAACTTTCGAGGAATGCCCGCACTCCATACAAGAAACAATGCTTGAAGTTTCGCCCCCAAATACAGAATCTATGAGAGTAGATATCTGATCATTATCAGAATCACCACGCTTCTTTCTCAAGGCTGACTCTTCGGTGCTCAACGAATCTAGCAAACAGCGTAGCAACTCGTGGCTATCATGCTGGTCATATCCCCTAAACTGGGGTGCTTTAGAACAGAAAGACCCAAAAAAGGCTCTAGGATTTATCACACTCTTCAAGCCTGCCTCAGGTTTCGTTTCAGCATATAATTTCTTCAGGGAAGATGCAAGAGGCCCACCGACCCCAGATCCATCCTCCTTCAAGAAGTGGCCGCGTAACTGATCCAAAGAAAGAAGATTCTGCATTATCGAATTAAAGAAACATGTGTTCCCAAGGTTAACTAAACCTCGCACGACATAACCATCTCTAGCTTCTATACCACTGGTCACAGCACCTTCTAATTTGATATCACTAGTGATACTACCACTTCCTGAGCACTGGTCTTCAATATCAGTGGACGCTAAATTGTTCAAAGATTGTCCTTTAATCAATTTAACAACCTCCAACAGCACGTCTCTCTTCTCACCATTCTCTTCTTTTTCAACAGGGAGAAGTGAATTGCATGGGAAACACCATCTTAACTGAGGATTTTCCCATTGGATCATCAATCGGTGACGCGTCAATCTGATATGCCTCACAACATGACTCTGAGCTCCAGTTGGTAAACCAACACCCCCACACACATAACAGCCACATTCCAAACAAAGCCAAATAGCTCTTTTGTCAGAAGAAGAAAAATCCTTTTTCCCCTTATTGCCCTTTGCTTTAGTTCCACTCTTGCCATACACCCCTTCCTTGCATTCTGCACACTTAATTTTCCGGGAAGACTTGATCTTATCAATCACTTTATCCAAATTGAGACCCTTATCGAGATGCACACAAGCTCTAGTCTCCTTAACTGCTTTAACATTCCCCTCAGCTAATTCCCCGGCTTGACTAGGTGGGTCTTCAGAGACCTCCTTGGAAAATGGGGTGGTCTGAATCTCCTTTGTTGGAGCTCGGGCCTTCTTCTTCGCTTTCTTCCCCATCAGTTGCTGTAATGAAATTCAAAGACAACAAAAGGAGATTGAGTGACTAAAGTTGTTACTTCATTTACAAAATCAAGTACAAGTAAGTGAAATACAAACGAAGCAATGAAGTGCAGAACAATGGATAAACCTTGGAAATATCACCAACACACTGAAGACAACCAGGAAAGAAAATAATCCAGGGCACAAATGGGATGACTGGAGAAGGGCAGCATCAGATTCAAAATCAATATCCAGCTAAACAAAATCGAACATGCCCATTTCAATTTCATTGATTTTTATGAATTAGCCGTCAAAATTTACAGACTCTAACAAGTACCCACAAAGAAATTATCCAACTTTGTAACGACTGGTAATCAAAGATCCAGAATCCAAAGTCCAGGCATGGAACACTTAGATTAAAAAACAAAAACAAAAAAAAAAGTCTGATATCTAATTACTACTACTCAACCTGACAGATATGGCAATCGGGAAGCAAAGAAAAGTAGCTAAAAACAATCGTACCAAAGCAAAAGCAGAATCCAGAGATTTTACCCACAAATTCCCAGAAGATGACGAAGAAGAACTCAAAAAAGTTGCTGCTTAGGAGAATATCCACATGAGAAGAATCAAAACTCGAAAAATTGGGATCTAGCCTAATCAAAAATTGGAGAGAGGGAGAGAAGTTGTGTTGTTGTAGCTGCCGCCGTCAAAAAAGAGGAGACGGAGAGTCGACGAAGGAGAGAAACTTAAACTTATGTGAAGTCCGAAAGATGGGCAGACGAAGGGGTTGTCACTTTAAAAACCTCTCTCTAATCCAATTATACTTTCGTCTTCCTCCGTACCGTAACTATCAAATTTTACCCACTAAAACTAAAAACAGATAACATTTTTTATAAGGAGAAAATAAATATATTCTTAAGAATATTAACTCCAAAGGATTTTAAATTTGTATACGAATGATAAAAAATAAAAGTTGGATGGTTAATGAAATTCAACAACAGATGGTAAATCAAAAACCCCATATAACTCAAAAAAAAATAATAAAAAAAGAGACTATTAAAAATTGTTATAAAAATCTCGTTTACACGGAAACAATGTCAGAAGCAATAATTAAAACATTACATATTTGGGTTCATGCTATGGGATTACAAGAACCAGCGAGCCCCATTGGAAGCTTCTGTATAAATTCACTCTATGAAGTAAGTCTTCTTGAAAGATTCTTTTGGTTTGCCAGATGCCTCTTTTATTTCACATTTAAGCTCAACCTCCATTAGCCTGTGGTTTTCCTTCGACCGGCTCATTACCAAACCAAGATTCAAGTTATCACCTTCCTCCACATTTATAGGATTGGACATAATGAAAACCTGCCAGGTTCAGATCACGAAACGGAGGTTAGCGTCTGAAACAGTCCGAAGCCTTAATCATCATAGGCCAGGGATTGGCAAGTACGTACCTGTTGACCCCAGTGCGTGCAGTGCTGCTCACTTGGAGCTGTGGTCAACTCGATTTCTTGCTGTGCAGGGTCTTCTTTTCTCCCCTAGTTACAAAAACAAACAATTAGCGCTGAGTAGGTATATAAAGTGTTTCTTCAACACACACACTACATAATGCAACACCATAATCTGTACAAACTAACCAAGAACTGAACATCGAACCATCCACCAAAACCACATAGCCTTGTGTGCTCCGCACTGATGACAGATGATACATTTGATCTGACTTCCTCAATTTCATTAACAGAGGCAGTCAAACAATCCATCTCTTTGACAATTGTAGGGGTGCCTATAATTTGTTGTGGATTCAAGTCATTCCACATAGCCGTCTGTACACAAAAGACAAGCAAAGGGTTTGTAAGTCAACTTATTAATTGTCCAACTGTCAGCTAAGTGACTTATCTAACGATAAATCTGATTGCAGCAATAAGAGTTTCGAAATCACCTGTATGTAATACTTTTCTTGCTCTTCAGCAAAAGGTTTTGTTAGAACGTCCATATCAACCCCATAGTAACTTTTGATCTCATCCGAAAAGTTATGCCAGTCCGCCATTGCCCCATCAAAGTCATTCTTCTTCCGATCTGCCATATTGGATTTGATGGGTGCAAGCCACATGCGAGCATGACTCGGGTACCTATTGGATTTAAAGCTTACTAGTTATGCTTAGACACATAAAGTACCAACATCAACCAAATCTTTACAAAATTGCTTTTAATTTTAGCACCTTGTGCCACATGGCCTCACAACATATGCATGAAATTTCATTAGGAATTCTATAAAGATGTTTAACAATATAAACAACACAACATCAAGCTCTCAAGTGCCACAGGCTCAATGCATCATTAAATTTTAATGATAAAAAAAGAATAGAAATAAGATGATAGAAAACCCACTTACATGACACCAGTCGGCTTTAACCATCGGTCACGAGCACTAATCACAGAATCAAACATGGACTCCCGCAGAAGGAAGTATCCCATCCACTCCGAGATAATGACGTCAACTGCTCATTAAATTGAATATGTAAATAGTAGCGCAATGCCAAGTAGAGTACAAATTATCAGAAGAAACATGTTCAACTCAACCAAATTGCTGTCTCAGACTCTCAACCTCTGGTCACTAATTTTGAGTCCGCAGTTTTTCATATCCAATACTCATACAATGTCATAGCTTAGGCTTCTGAATATCACACAACCATAGGCTCATTTAACAATGGACTTAATTATCAATTTACTCAGTCTACTTGCAAAGAAGAGAAATATGGGAAACAGAATAATACCCTTCTCTGGCAAGGAAATATCCTCGACTGAGCCTTCAATGACTTCAACAATATGGTCAAGGTTGTTGGCTTTGACAAGGGCACGAGCATGATCAGCCATTTTAGTGGCTTCAACGGCATAAACCTTCCTGGCACCAGCTTGAGCTGACCAAATAGCAAGTATTCCACTTCCAGTGCCCACGTCTAAGACAGTCTTCATCACATTACAAATACAAAATTAGCCAAATATTAATACCAAAAGAAAGACAGAGACCAATGGTTATAACTTAGCAATATATTATCTTAAGCCCAAAATCACCGAGTACAGACATATCAAAAGTGGTCAAGTGTATCTAGACAGCTCGAAGACATGAACTTTATTATACCTTGCCCTCAAAATGATGTTTGTTCTGGAAGACGGCATTGAAGTATGCATCCATACGGACACGGTCGGAGAGCATGTCTTTCTGGTGGTAGAGAAAGGAGTAAGTGCAGAAGTACTGAGCGAAGTCAACTTCTTTGTCAACTGGAGCCGACGGCCCTCCTCCGCCGGTTCCGGCCGCTCGTCCGCCCATTGTGCCGCCGTTCTGGGAGCTCCTCATCTTTTGCTTACAAACTTGCGAAGAGATGCTTTCAACTGCGGCAACAAACAAAACTTTGGTACCTTTAATTGAAAAGCTGAAGTGGGGAGAGCTGCTTGAGTTTTCAGACGGCGACGGACAAGTTCGGAAAACTTAGGGTTCCTTTTATAAATCAACCAATCAATCAAAGTCTTTAAGTCTCCCTCCTCCGCTTTCAAAATCATATAACCGGGATTACTTCATTCGGCCCATTTGCTTTCCAAGCCCAAATATCTTCGGCCCCTGCAGACTTTAGTTTACCAATTTACAAGATAATGTTTTATAACGAAAAAGTTAAACCATTAATCATGAAAATCTTTATGCAAATGGAAAATCTCTTTAAGAAAAAAATTAAAATCCTTCAAACAAGACTTAGCAATGCCAAAAGACCAACAAAATGTTATAACCTTCTCTCTCTTAAACCCTAAATTGTTTCTGTAGAAAAATCTTAAGACAATAAAAAAAAAAAAAACCATAGTACTAAGACCAAAAGACAATGTCTTCTGCCCCAAGTAAGGTACCCGAAGCCCTATCTTCAGTTCTGCTCAGCAACCACCGCCACGGTAGGCTCATCGGCTTTCTTCATTGGAGATGTTACCATCACAACATCGCCATTTTTCTCCTTAGGAGCCACCACCATCTCAGTTGGATTAGGGTTAGGGTTTAGAACTGAGGGGTTCATTGATGACTCTTCCAATTCTGGATCGGTTTCTCCGCTCTGATCATCATTATGTGGCTCGCTTTCACCTGAGCAACCGCTTGAATCACCTTCTTCGTCCTCTTCTTCGCCTTCTTCTATCGGAAGTTCAGCTTCAGCCATGTCTACGTTTTGCTCCGGAAGTCTCTGTTGCAGCGGAATAGCGTTGCTTATGAGCTGCCCAGTCTTCAGCCTCTCATTGTAATCTTCCATTTCAACTCGATATCGCTCTTTGTCCTCCATTGCCTTCCCTTGGTAAACCTTTACCAAGAAATGAGAGAGAATCAAACAGACCATGAGAAAAGAACCAGAAGAACCTTACAAAGATTTTGATAAGAACTCAAAATATTAGAGTATGTGAAGTTTAAATACCGATTTTTCCTCTTCATTCAGCTTGTTCCAGAGTTCACCAATCATCCTGCTGATATCCCTATCCTTACCGGGATAAAGAGGTTTCAGCCTCGCGTGCTGCTCCGCGAAAAAGAAGTTATAACCACTTCTGTTGGGTTTCGGATGTGCAGGATCACGTCTTTTAATCTCTGATTTCTTTCTTCTCCTACGGCGTTTTGTTACTCTTCCTGTAGCCCCCGGAGGATTGGCAGAACTGTTCCAAGTGTTGGGGAGTACACCATGACTCTGTTGGGGAGTTTGATGACCAACTGTGACTGGGGGAAGAAGCTGATACAGAACTCCTTTAAGCTTCTCTGATCTCACTTCTGCAGTTATAAAGTAACCATATTCAAACTTTCCATCGATCACTCCAACCACATTTTCTTCAGCAGCAGATCCTAAAACAATAACAACACAAGGGGTTCACATTTACTCAGATTTGTAAGTCACAGTTTCTCAGTTACATCATTTATAGAAAGAGAAAAAGTTGATACCTCCAGCGAATTCTCCAGGATTGATCCTGGGCTGTGGGGTAAAGTTTAGACCTTGGAGTTCATGTGCAGGTCTAATGGCTGCCTGCATAAGGCCTGGTCTAGCAGATGGGCTCTGCAGAGAATCTACAGAAGATATATGTATTACACAATAGATAACAAACTGAAAGATGTATGAAATCTTGGTAAAATAGCAAACAGGTTTTAATGGGCAAACCTGGAGGAACCTGGCCATTGGTTCTGAAGAAATAGATTTGCTCATAATTGTTAAGCAGCGAGAAGTAGTATTTGCGCAGGACATATGATGCGTTTGTTGCTGTTGGAGGAAAGACAAATGTAGCAGTTACCTCTTTCCATCTCCTTTCATTAAGTATCTGCAGTTCAAAGAAGGAAAATGATCCAAGGACAAGGGTAAATATAGATTTCAAGATTTTAGAACAATAGCAACTATATAAGACATAGAAAAGAGACATATAGCATGGAATTAATATATCATCGAAAGGGACATACCTTATTGATTCCACCACGAGAGGTTACTTCAACGAAAAGCTTGTGCAAGTCCAAATCTCTCCCTCCTATTATTGGAACCCTGCAACAACAAATGGAATATGTAGAAAGGTTAAAGCTATAAGCTATAGAGTATTGCAGCCATATCCAAGCATCAATCAGTCTCATGTAAAAGTTACAATACATTAACCAAGAAGCAAAAGGTACAATGAGTGAAACACAAAAGAATAATACGCCACTGTAAGATAGACCAATTATACACAGGTGTTTGTAATTGGTAAAACATGAAAGATTCAGTACTTCAAGGTGAAAACACAAAGCATGAATCATCATCAACCCAAGAGCTTAAATCCCAAAAGATGGAGACTTTCTAATCACAAATCGCTATCAGAGCCAACAGGTACCCACTGAACTAACTCTAATAAGTAAGAAACGATAAGGAGAAAGAAGCTTACATGAACTTAGTACCCAAGAGAGAGTGCAGCCTTTCCAAGGAAGACATGAAAAGCCGAGGGTCTGCAACCACAGCCTCATACGTTGCCTCAGGGGTAACACAAACATTGTTCATTGGCACTGACCCTTGCTTAAGACAAGAGCTTGATGCCATTCCTGCCACAACCAAAAGCCAACCCAAAAAAAAAAAAAAGGTAAGCACTTTAACATCATTTACTCTCCATAACAACCACTAAACCTTCTTCAGCATTTACTATCCGGCTTATTAATGAAACAAAAGGCAGAGACTTTAAAGCTCTGCACATCTGAGTGTAATTAACCGTCTTCCACAAAACAGAAACTCAAAGATGCACAGGAGTTCAAATTTACAATATTATCCACAAAGCTGCATGCAAATGATTAAAGACATGAGACATAACCAGCAAAGAGATAGCAAAACCCAAGGAAAACGAACAAGAAAGGCTTTGAGAAAGAAAAAAAGCTGTAAAGCCCTTTCATAAGTTCTTCTCCTCCTCCTGTTTCTTATATGCAGAACAAAAACTGAATACGACAGATTGCCATTAAATGTGAAAGGACTTGTGCTGCAGAAGCAACGACACTTTAAGGAATCACAACAAAGACACATCTCTTTCACCCAATCCCTCTCTCTCTCTCTCTCTCTCTGTATCTGACAAATAAAAAAAAGGGAATTTTTGTGCGCCGGCAACGTATTTTTCCTGAGATTTGTAGGAACAAAAACCAAGAAAACCTTCCCGACATATGAACAAATACATTACAGGCATCTACAAATAATTTAATGCCCAACAACAAAATTTCTTCCAAGAAGCCATTAATTAATTCTCTGTTTACATGAGTAAAGAAACAACGAATAGATTTGTCGATAGATGCAACAGAGCAAAGGGATTAACATCAAAGCAACCATTTTTGGGGTTTCCCGCGAGGCAGCAAAAAGCCCAGACGACAAAAAGAGAGATATAATTAAAATAATGGGGAGAGAAGATTTTTGTATACAAATGAAAGAAAAAGTTATCACCTTTGCTAACCATTTACCCTTGAATATTCATAAAAATGAAAGCTTTGGTTTCTCTTTAATGGTGAAATGAGAGTGCATATAGCAAAATAAAAATGAAGGGACGCGCACGTTGTTTGATGCGTATGTGTGTGTGTGTATGATGAATGAATGAATTTGTGTAAATAAGGATCCCAGATGAAAGATATAAATAACAATGGGGTGGCTATAAAATAGGTCAAATTTTTTTTTAATTTACCAAAGGGTGAGAGAGAATTGAGCTATATATGATAAATAATGCACGATATAAGGGAAGTATAAGAAAGAGAAAATCAAATTATATCAAATTGAAGGGAGAAAAACAATTTTCTATTTTAATGCAAATTTTAGATCTTGAAGATTGACCACAAATTAAATTTTTACTTTTGTATTTTAATATATTTCCTTGATAAATATAGTTTAATATTTTTAGTGACTTAATACAAACCAATTTTTTGCTATTTTATACCATCACTTTTATATTTTACTAGTGAACCGAGAAAACCAAATATTTATTACTTCAATTAACGGTTTTATTAATAAGTTAAGAAACATATAAGAAAACTTACAAATTCTTTAAAGTATTATATATAATTTCAGATTTCCTTAAATTATTGTACAAGTTAAGAAACATATAAGGATACATAACAAAAACTTGAAAACTAATATATAAAATATCTATATAGTTTTAAATTCTCCTAAAAATATTATCTATTTTTATATAATAAAATAATAATAAAATGTACATTTGTTGTGCTCGTTTATGACCGTTAGTTATTTATAAGTGGTTCAGAAAAATTAAAAATCAATCTAATTAATAGATATTTTTTAGTAAGTTAGAATCAAATTAAAACACGTAGACACACACATTACTCAAAATATATATTTTATTGTCCAATTAACAGTAGATGACAAAAGAAAATGTGGTTTACTAAAAAAAACCTATAGATAGTAAAAAAAACAATAAAAATATTTCTATGTGTATATGGGGAAAACCATAAAAAGATAGAAGTGAGGGAGAGAGTTGACTACAATAAGATAAGAACGAGATTTTTCTATTTTTTCTTGATTTTCAAATTTCAACATATAGAAATAAATAATTTGTATATGCTGGATATGTATTATCAAGAATAACATTCAAAAAAGAGGGGATTTCAATATATAGATATATCATTCCATTTTTAGGCATTCAAAGTTTGACTAGGCATATTCTTTACCATTTTAACCAATTCAACCATATCTCCCTCTTATCAGATATACTGCTGTATCTAATAAATTAAAATACCATTAGTGCTTATTACCTCTATGTTAACACTGCTGGCAATTACCTCTGTATTACTTAATTACATAATAATAATAATAATAGTAATAATAATAATAATTTGTCAATTCCTTTTGAAATTCATCTTTAAATTTATCTAAATATTCCAGTGATGAATACAAAATTAAATTTTTCATATTTCTCATTTTTAGTATTTAGTTAACCCATCTTCCTTTGAAAAAATCTTAACTACTAAGATTGATATTTTTCTTCTACTAATAATAGTTATTTACATTAAAAAGTATAATTGAAGTTAATCTAAAGGAAAAATAGATATTTTATTATCTTCTCCACATACTTTTAATTTTTTTTATTACATATTGTATGACTAATATTGGGGGATATCATCAATCAATATACATAAGAATGATTCAAAAAGCCTAAAAGATTCACTATCTCAACAATCATTTAAAATACCATCACTGAAATAAAACTTAATCCGTTGGATACACTCTTCAATTAACATTTTATTATATTATTAACATAAATATATTCATTTTATATCGGTCAATTGAAAAGCTTAATTAAACAAAAAAAAAAGTTAAAACATAGTTAGACGAGTGTTATTACCCTTATTAATATTAACACTGCTTTATAGTGTATTTTAATCATCAACAAGGCACAATCTATATATATCCACACAAATATTTTTTGATCGTTTTATTTGGATTTTGTTGTTGCTGATAAAATACTATCATTTGCATGGACTTTTTCAAAGTAGCAAGCGCATATGTAATAATGTACACGTGTGTATTTCTCTTTACACAAAGACGGCAAAAAGGGTTTGAAAAACATAAAATTCATTCCCGAAGGGTTGACTTGTAATCCAAGCTTTCTCGATATAGATGGCTTCACTTCTCTAAAAGTCTCTAAACCCGTGGGCTGTTAAAACTCATAAAACCTACACTATATCTTGTTTCCTACACGCCCATAACATGTGTCTTTTGCGTAGATAAAATGTAAATACGATTCAAGAAGAGTGAAGGTCCATCGAAGATCTTCTCCAACCTCGCTTCTCTGACGTAACCCTTACCTAAAAAAGAACATTGGCAAACAATTAAAAACTCACAGTACGTAAAACCTTTTTTTTTTTAACGTAAGACCGTTTCATCGACTGAAGAGTTCTTTCAAACCTTTGATGATAAAGGAGGCAAAGATGCTCGTCTAGTAAGCTCCTCTCTTTCCTCTTGAACAGCCTTTAACCTTTCTCTCAACAGTTCAACTTCATTCTCAATCTTTAACCTCTCATAATCAACCGCAGACATTGATTTTCTCCTTGAACCCGAAGAGCTCAGCGATTTCTTGCGTGGACGACATAATGGAGGAAGCTTTCTAGCTATCCCCGAGACAATGATACTACTGTTTTCCTCCAACGGTTCTTTAGGTTTGCTAACAGAGGATTCTTCTAGATTCTTCTTCTTCTTACTAATGTTCTCTGTTTCATCCTTCACCATATGAACATCACGCACACGTGAGTACGCTACCTCTGAATCTGATTTATACAGATCTCTGTTTTTATCTCTGTTTTCTACTTCTCTATAAGGCATTTCAAGAACCGTTCCATCGAGTTCTTGAACGAGCAAAGCTCTTCTCTCTTGAGAGTCTTGATTTAGTTTATCTTCCGGTTTCATCACAGTCTTTACGGTACTCTCTGGGAGATTCTTCTCTCTTGCCAAAGAACAATCTAACGCGTCTGTCTCATCGAGTAGCTGTCTATAAGCTTCAACTTCTTTCTCCAAGAAATGTTTTTCCCTCTCACGCCGTATCAAAATGTCTTTGAGTATGACCATCTCTTCAGCGTCGAAAGTAGACTTTTCTTCAACCATTCTCTGGAATTGCCTCGCTTCCATTTCTACAGTCGCCTTCTCATCTTGCAGCCTATGTATCATCGCCATCGCTTCATCCGCTGCTGATGCTGCAGCGCTTCTCTCTTTGTCCAGCTCAACACAAACCGCTGCTCGAGCATCTCGCTCTTCTTTCAACGATTCTTCCAAAACCCTAACAGAGTTTTCTTCTGCGTTTCTAAAAAAGGATTGTTCCGCTGATGAATTGGGGTTTACCTGTTCATTAATTGATACGCTTTTTTCAAATTTCGGCCAGTGAGGAATAAAGCCTTTGGGCTCATCACTGGAACATCTCTCATCTTTTGCTCTGAGAAAGATATCATAAGGCTTCTTCGTCAAATGGGATTTCACGGTGTCATCAAAAGCTTCCGATGAAGAAAGCGATGTAAGACTTGAACAATTCACACGGCCTCTCCTATGGTTTTTAAGACTGTTTCTTGATCTTCGTGTAACAAAACGCTTCCCTTTCAAACCCTGAACGGTCATCAGATCAAATCTACCAAGTTCTTTATTGTTGTTAATCACGTTATGTTCTCCTCTTGTCAAATCCTCTGTTTCAGCTTTAACTCTAGCATTACTTACATCACCATTGTTCTTTCTCACAAGCTTCAACTCAACAAACCGGTTCGACTCATCGTCGCTAGTGATCGAACCAAAAGGGATCTTGCTTTTTATCGATTGGTTTACGGATGAGACTCTCTCTGAGGCACAATCCACAAGAAGCCCTTCATCAAGGCATTTCCTTGTAATGTTTGCATCACAGAAACGCCCGTTGTGAAATCTTGGGAGAGATAAACCTAGAAACCCTAGAAATCTCAACAAGAGATGTATACAAAGAGATGTACAGAGAAGCAAATAAGCTATGGACAGATTCATAAAGGCGCCTACGAGACCAGTGAAATTCCAATCTTGCGTATCTAAATTACACGGCATCTTTGATAGGTAGATTACCTTCTATAGCTTTTTAAGTCAAATCTGTTCATATGATCAAAAACTTCTTCTTTCAGACAATCACTAGCTAAAATCAATGGAAAAAAGAAAATCAAGAAACACATAGATCTTCTTCTGTTCGAACTAATTTGATAGGCCAGTTTCTAAAAACCAAATATGAAAATCTCATTCCGGAATTTTAGTTATTGTAATATAAGAAAAGCAAACAAAGCTGAACCATGAATCTCAAATAGGTAACTATTTTTGAACACCATGCATAATTGATCAATCAAATAATAAATGAAAGTATTTTGCCTGAAGGCGAAGCTTAATTAGGTCAACCATTAGCCAAGTGGAGACAAATGCGAACGTTTAAGAACTTCTAAAGTTTGTTAATTTTTTTTATAAAGCAAAATCATGTAGAATTCTTATTGATAATGATATATACCGCATTACGTTAGAAGATGAACTTCAAAGGCTTTTTTTTTTTTTTGGTTACCTCACCAACATATTTCAAATGACTAAATGATCAAATATATCTCGAATCAGGTTTTGAACAACCAAATAATTAAAATACAAATAACCTAACTTTCCTTTTTTTATTTTTTTGAATTTCAACTTTCCTTTTCTTTTTGTTGTGTGTTGTTTGAGAATTTCCTTTTTTTTGTTTGTTTGTTTGTAATGCAACGGGCAAACCTTTGCTTATAAATATAATACGATATCTTCTTCATCTTTGAGAAATCATAATTCTCATTCTCGAAAATCATAAAACAAAACAAATATATTTTAAACGCCAATGAAGAATGCGTTCCCGTTTGATAGCTAGACTCGGTCTCGAATGTTTTATGATGCTGGCGTGCGTCGAAGATTGATTCGATGGAAACTTCATTGATGCGCAGAGATAACCTCCAACGATGAGTGTTTCCAATTCTGACTCGCGAGGTCGAGTCGAGTCGCGCTTTGTGGTTTGATTAGTAGTAGTACATATTATATTTTGAGTAAACCGTTTTTATTTAATTAAAATTTTACTGGTTTACATAATTTTAAGAAGAGAACCAAGGATTTTGAATTTAATACGGTTCGAACTGAACCGAAACTAAACCCTAAACCTCTGTGAAACCTCCTGAACCGGTGAGATCCTCCTGCATCTCGTAGAGAAGGCGACGGGGAGAGAGAGAGAGAGAGAGGCCGAGTTCATGGCTCTCGTTCGATTGATCTCTTCTAGGAAGCTTCAACCTCTGTTTTTCAGTACAAGTGTTACTGCAAATGTCGATCAATTCGAGCTGCCATGTCTTGTGTCGCTTCGAGCTTTCTTCTCTACTCAGAAGCTCATAGGCGATGAACCAGTACTCGTGAGTTTGTTCTTAACTTTTGTTTGTTGCCCTAAGTTTTTGCTGATTCAGCTTTACCTCAACCTAAAGTATGAAAAATGAGCGCTCTTGATAACTAGAATCAGTGACAAATTGATCAATTGACATCTCGAGTTTTGTACATGATAAGCAAATCCAAAAGACATGACTTTTCGAAATTCAAAGGACTTTGTACATGAGTTTATGTCTCAGTTTTGTGTATGTGTGTGTGTTTGGACGAACCTAACCAATAGAGTTTTACAGTCTCATATTTTTCCCAGGTCCGATTTTTTCAGATTTCATTTTCGTTTGGCGATTTGTGGAATGTGGGACTAAATGTTTGGTTAAACTGAAACAGGTTCGAGATTTCATACACACAGCATTATATGATCCAAAACACGGCTACTTCTCTCAACGATCAAAATCTGTTGGGGTTTTGGAGAGAAGCATTAAGTTCAACCAGCTTGAAGGTAGGCTAAAAGTTCCAACTTTTACTTCACCTTACTTGCTTAAGTGTTATCTACAGTGTCTCAATTCTTGAATTTTGGACACGCTTTTAACTTCCTCCCCAAAAGGAATAGCAAAATTAGCTCTCATTCAGTCATTCTAGAGGATATGAATTTGCTCTTTCATTGGAGTACTGTTGTTTCTTCAGGCTGTATTGTCCTGTTAGCAGAAAAGTTGTATTTGCTTGGGATGTTATCTCTTTATATTTAGTAAGTCGATTGTTTTTCCTGTCCTAGGAAGGAAAGCGTATATGAAACTCTTGGAAAAAGTATACAAGCAGAGTGACATTTCTTGGTTTACTCCAGTGGAGCTTTTCAAGGTGAAATTCTTGGATAGGTTCTTTGTTGTATTCTTCGAAAAGCCTTCACTTGTTGTAAGTATCCTATTTTATGATGTCAATTATCTCTTGCAGCCTTGGTATGCTCATGGGATTGCAGAAGCTATACTGCGTACCACAAATCTCTCTGTTCCATTGAAGGTATTTTATTTAATTTCACAACAAAACATAACATGCGATTTTGTCTCTCATTTCGGTCGTTATACTACGGGAAGCCTTGAATCTAATACTTCCTGAGCTATCTTACCTATCACCCTACATGGGAACTAGTTAGTGATATAGACTAGGCCTTTAACCTCTTCTTTTGTTCATACGTTGAACGTTTAAAATAGAGAAACCATGCTTTACCTTTAAAACTGTTATAATTTCTGTAGTTACGAATCATTTGAACTCACAGTTGAAGGGTGTGGATAGAAAGGAATCCCATTAAATTTTTGTTTAGATCATGTGTCTTCAGGAAAGCTATAATTCTAGACACGGATAGATTTTCATCCCGCTTTTTGAATTAAAGTACTCATTTGCACTGATTCTTCTTTTAATCAATTCTACTTGAAATATGTGCTTAGATCTATGAAATTGGTGGTGGATCGGGCACGTGTGCTAAGGGCATATTGGACTATATAATGTTAAATGCTCCGGAGAGAATCTACAATAACATGAGCTACACGTATGTATGCTCAGTTTTCCTTTCTTCTCATTTTAAGCTGGCATGAATGATACAAAATCATTTGGCTTGAACTTCAGCATAGTAAACTGTAATGAAACATAAATTAACTGCATGCTATTTTTAATGTGTATCAGTTCTGTAGAAATCAGTCCTTCACTGGCTAAGATTCAAAAGGAAACTGTTTCACAAGTTGGTAGTCATCTATCTAAGTTCCGAGTTGAGTGCCGTGATGCATCTGATCTATCTGGATGGAGTAAGGTCTTTTTGTCCAGCACAAGGCAGATTCTGGTTTTTAATTTCCTGTGGCTATGTTGGAATCGTTTTTCTTTTCTTCCGAGCTATGCTAGAATTAGGTATTTGGTTGAAAATGTTAAATTAGTGGGTTGTTCACCAAACTTTGTGATGTAACATTCTTAGAAGATTAAGCTAGCCAAATGATGTTTGCTACTAGATTTTTCTTGAGTTGGGATTAGCAACAATACCTAAGTTTTCCTGAGACTACTGACTACTTATTAATCGCGATGTTTGTAAATTATCGAATAAGTTTCAGTTTAGTGACTATGAAGTTATTTATCTATGCTTATAGAGTAAATTTTTAAACAGAGAATGTGGAGCAACAACCGTGCTGGGTCATAATGCTTGAGGTATGTAATTCTGTAGCTGTGGTTTCATTTGATAGGTAGGTATTTGTACTGAAAAGGAATTATATGTCTCATATTTGTATTAATTATACCATTGCAGGTGCTAGATAATCTCCCACATGATCTTGTCTATTCAAAAAGTCAAATTTCCCCATGGATGGAAGTCTTGGTTGAAAATAAACCAGAGAGGTACATAAAAATAGAGAATACATGTATGGTTTAAATGAAGTTTATTTCAGCCTTTATTGATCAAGATCTCTGATAAACTGTAGCGAAGCACTCTCTGAGCTATACAAGCCTTTAGAAGACCCACTGATCAGGCGCTGCATTGAAATTGTTGAACATGATGATGATCCGGTTTCAAAACCAAAAGAAATCTGGTCTAAACTATTTCCCAAACCTAGACGTAGTTGGCTTCCAACCGGTTGTTTGGTAAGAAAAAATGATGTCCACACACATAAACACTAAACAGATATTGTGTTGCTCTGTTCTAAATTTTGAAATTCCAGAAACTGCTCGAGGTTTTACATGCAAAGCTGCCAAAGATGTCCCTAATTGCTTCGGACTTTAGCTTCTTGCCTGATGTAAAAGTTCCAGGTGAAAGAGCCCCATTGGTTTCAACAAAGGTCCGTTCTATTTTTCTACTAACTATGCATTGACACCTTTCTAGTATGTGCCATAGATATATCGCCAAAGTTTATGTTATACCTCATCATTTAAAACAACAAGAACTTGGTTTGGATATTAAGAAAGTGTCTTATGCATCATCGGTTAATATCAAACTTGTCTCAAGAAAACTAGTGAACAATTTCACCCGAAGAATATATCACTGAAATGTAATTATGATCTCTATAACAATGTTTGTATTTGCAGAAAGATGGGTGTAGCTCGGATTACAGTAGTTATCTGGACGCAAAGGTGAGAATATCTAAAAATTTCCTACTTTTTCTAATTATAAGGTTTATTTTCGATGGTAAATAGTTGTCTAAAACTTCTAACCTCATTCTACAAATCTCACAATTCTATGTATGTTGGATGATCTTGCAGGGTGATGCTGATATATTTTTTCCAACGGATTTCTGGCTATTGGAACGAATGGACCATTATTGTTCCGGTTGGAGGAAGATGGAAAAGGATGGGACACCATCGAAAAAAGGAAGGAAAAGGCGAACTCTCACTGTAAAATAAGATTCTCTTTAAAAACATTACAACAAGAGAGTATATATCTGACACTTTTCCTTAACAGTCTATCCTTGTTCTCTTTTGGCTTGTAGCTCGATACATCAGCATTCATGGATGAGTTTGGTTTACCTTCAAAGACGAGAACGAAGGACGGATATAACCCCTTAATTGATGACTTCAAGAATACTAAGTTCTATCTTAGTGTCCCAACACACAACACTAAGTAGCCAGCAAAAAGATTCATCAGCTCATGGATGTCTGAAAATTTGCAGAAAACTAAAGCTTTTTCATTTGCTGAAAATTTAAAAAAGGGTTTAGAACAATGATTATTTCTTTCTTTTCTTAAAGGGAAAACAAAATGATATAATAAGTTTAATCAATATACCATTGCCGACTTTGTCTGGCCTGTTACATTTCGCTACAGACATTGAAGGCAGGTAAGCTCGAAGACATAGTTTTTTGGCTTTCAAACACTCTTGCGGTCTTGCCAGTACCACGCACCCATTCGGTTGTTTGTAATGTAATGGATTTTGATTAAACGCCCAAATTAAAAGATTAATAACTTTCATCCATGGATGCTTGCTTTCTTGTTTATTTTATTTTCTTTTTACTTTTTTGTTTGTTTTGTGACACTGAAAAAAAATAACTATTAGTAGAATATCATCAGTTCTCTTAGATTTTGTTACAGATTTTGGAAGAAGATTCAAATCCATGCTTCATAAAGAAAAATGTTTGACACAGATGTTGAGCTACCTGAATTGTATGAACAATATCGAGAAACCTCTCTCTTCTTTGTTGGAAACAAGTTTTGGTATAAAATGTTTCAAAGACTTACGATTAAGATCCTCACCGTTCTAATCCAGTGACCGTGGAATTCGTCTGAGAAGTTGAATCTGGATCTCTGACACTCTCTAATCGGCTGTCAAGAATCTCTATCACATTATCCGGTGGGCATTTATCACTTGACTTCTTCGGATTCATCTGACAAAAACATTCAGGCCATGAATTTGTATAAAACGATTCAGGAGATACACGTCTGTGAGGCCCTCCAAAGTTTGTTTTCAGCATTACTCGTCTCACTGCTTCTTCAAATCCAGCAATTTTTCCCTTTTCTCTAGCTATGAAAATTGGAGCTAAAGCTTTTCTATCCGGTCTGATTGTGGTACGGAAACCGTAGTAAAGGCGATGACCTAAGAGATTGTTGGCAAAATTGCTCGGTCCATCATATGTTGGCATAAAAATGTCGGAGAGGAGACAAACCATGTAATCCACAGCTGATCCTATTAATCCCTGTGAGTTTGCTGACAACTCCTCAGACGGGTCCACCGAGCTATGGTTGTCAAGCCGTGGGAATAAGGTTCGAAACGGTTTCATGAACCGTTCCCCGCCAAAAAGTTCACCTGCTGCTAGGTATATCCTTGTGGAGTTGTCGAATCTCATTGCTCGTAATATAAGTCCTACCTGCACCACAAGGATCACGCAAAATGTCATTTTGCATATCTAAAGCCTACAACAGTGCCACAATAGCTGTAATTATGTTTTCTGTCTGGTGGATATGCTTAACATGTAAATGATGCTGATAAAAAAAGTAAAGGAACTACCTCCTCAGGGGTCAGTGGACACTTCCCGATAGCTCGTCTTTCATTGTAAATAAGCCTTTTCTCTGCAAAATTTTCTTTACGGTACTTCCTAAGTATTTTCTGTTCCTCCGGGTTAAATATGTCAAAGCACCTGCGGAAATAAACAACTAAACATTGTTCACATGCGTACTGATATTTGTCAGATGATACAACTTTACTGTAAAAAGTATTTTAATAGAAATGAAACTACACAGCTGATGGTTGGAGAAAGATAGTTGCAAAAGAGCATACCCCGCAAATGCCAACATATCCATTTCAAAACGAAGATGGATCGACATGAAGTGGCCCTGTGACCGGAGTTTGTCAACAATAGATTCGCTTAACTTCATGATGTGTGGCTTGAATCTCAAAGCATGGTAGTTCACTCTGCATCTTAACCGTTGATATTCAGGATTGTCAATTTCCTCCGCCAAACGATGGGAAAAAGGGGTAAGATAGATAGCACTATGTTCTTTCATTGCCTTTAAAGCAGTTGTCAGGTACCACTCAATAGGAGCATCACGAGGAGGACGAATCTAATACAGATAAATAACAAGGATCACAGTTATTTAACCTATGCTTTCAGAATACAAGCTTATGTGAAAACCACACATCTCTTTATGCTTGTACCTGAAAAGCTTTTATCTTCTTGGTTTTCCCATTTTTGTGAGCATCAGGGATCTTTCCCACAATCTTAACATCGTACTTCAGTGTCTCTATAAAATGTTCAACGTCATAGATACCTTGAAAACCACTGGGAATAATACAATCATATATTAGAGGATAGAGACATATACTTCAAGAATTCATGTAATGGCATTTACTCTCATAAGCACATTTACACATATCCTTAATATTAGGCATAGAAGTCCGCTTAAAACTTGTCTGCTGATACTTGGAAAGGAATCAACATACCTGTCATCATGCCAAAACGAGTTTGCATCTAATTCGGGCAACACAAGCGTAGCATTCATGATCCGGGCAGCAAGTACTGCATTACATATCTGCATTATCCAGAAGTCAACATTTGTCAAACTAAAGATATAGCAACCAGATTCTTATTGGAGGGTTTCAGCTAGCTCAACTCCACTAGATTTAAAGATACATATCATGAAGTGAGTCACACAAACAGGACATCAGCATAATTGGAGTGTGAAAGGACAGAAGCAAAGTGCAATAGACGACTTTGATTAGAAAACAAAACACCTACCGCACTACGTTGCTGATTCAAACCACCATTACATCGAACACGGAGATACCCATTTGTTTCTTGGGTAGGAGCTGCAAAAGAAATTAGAAGAATCGTATAATCATTTCAAGCTTGGAATGCCCTAAGACTTTTAGATTAGCATCGAGTTAAATCTTTACTGCTCAAAACACGAGATGAACATACGAGGCCAGTCAGATCGTGGCGCAGAAGATGGTCTCCAACCACCAGACTCAGCACTCTCCCAGAGCTCCTCTACGTTTATCTGCTCAAAAATATCATATAGAATCTATCAAAGTCTTAGATCAACAAAGACTCACTAAGACTCTCTACTATATATATAGAACATGAGATTAAATTCAGATCTTTAGCCTCCTGCAAAAAGATTTTGGTTCCAGGCTCGGGAAACTCAAAACGGATACTTCAATTTTCAGTCTACTAGTCGCAATTCATGGCTAATCAAACAGAAGACCTGATCTTCAGCTAGAAGTGACTACTCCAGATACATACCAAAAGTGAACTAACCTTAGATGGACGGGTCGGCTCGGAATTGCTACCGATGTTAGCCGAGAAAAGCAGCGAGAGCGTACAGATCAGTAGAACAATGACTCCGATAGACAGCTTCGCAACCATCCCCTTTGTTCCAACTCCTCCGGTCTTCCCATGGAGCCGGTGGTGTCCTAACCTGTAACATCACTCAAAAATCAACAACGATCCAATCGAATCAACTCTAACGAAATGAAAATTGCAATCTCAGACACCAGATTTTTCCAGAAAAATGCGAGTATGATCATCTACCTTCGCATCGCGTTTGAAATCAGGAAGAAGACGAGATCTTCCCCAGTGATATGATGAGAATTTGTTTGTAATATTCCGAGTAAACTCTCTCCTTAGAGTCTTTCTCACTGGCCAGCCAGATGTAGATTTTGATTTTTCGTTAATTTAATTCAAGTAATTAATTACAGCTGCTTCGGAGTTCGAATCATCGTCGCGACTGGCCGACGTCGGTTCTCGCAATCAAACCGACCGGTTGATTATTTTTTAATAGACTTACATCTATTAAATATTTTTTTTTTAAAACCCGATTATTTTAGTAATTTATATTTTCTACAGTCTGAAAGATTCATTGATTAATGGAAGAAACTTTTAATGATTGGTAATCTATAATGCAAATCTTTCTTGTCGAAAGGTTTAATTTATAAATTTCACAAATTTTTCTTGTGATGCATCTATTTTTTTTACAAAAGTAACACAACCAATAGCCTTGACTTCACTGTTTATTTTATATCCTAATATTTGATTATCAAAATACCAAATTTTAACAAAGTGTGTCTTTTAGAAAGAAAAAAGAAATAACAAATCAATCTACATGGTCGAACCGGCCACTAATTGGAAGTTATGTGAATCAAGCGGTGGCTTTGGAGAGCTGCTTAAAAATGTCGGTTATCTCGCTAACCGGTGAATCAGCCTTGATAGAACCAATAAAAGGACTCTCTGACGGAACGATGTCGTCTCGAAGGTCTGTTGAGCGGAGAAGAGCATCAGAGCCCAATGTCACGAGCCCCTTGAGGATCACAGTCTTGTGAGTGCCGGAGATCAATTCCTCATAGTCCGTATCCCCGAGTTCTCCAACCACGACGTACATGTTCGCCACGTTCAGCCTCCACCTCACGAACAAGTACCTTCACCCCAAATATCAAATCGCAATAATAAGAATAACACGCACCGGAGCTAAAACATATATATATATATATTCAATCAGGTTAGAGATGATCAACGGACCTGAGAGCCTGAGATCGAGAAGCAAGAAGAGGAACGATCTGGATTCTCGTTGAATTACGACAATACATTGGATGGCAACGAAGGCCTCTAAGTCGTAACTTCTGACGCAAGTCATCTACTCTCATCACCTGAATGAAACCCTGATATTATTAGATACTGCAGTATAGACCTTAGTACAGCCGCCAAACGAAAAATACTTCACCTTAGAACGGTCTTTGATCTGATACGCAACACAATGCGCATTGCTCGATGCCTTATCCTCCTGAATAAGACTCGGAGAGTCTTTGTTTCTAGCTTCACCACCAACCGCGGTTGTGTTCATCAGTTTCCACACCGTGTTCTTAAGCCCTTCCATGCCCCATCGGTAATCGATATGCGAGGAATAGTCGGGATCCGGAAGAAGCTTTCCCTCTTCCCCTCCTGGATAATAAACTTCGCTACCGCTGCTGCATATTAATGTGTCGAACTCGCTCACCTGAATCTTGGCACACTTCAAGAAGTGAGTTAATTCATCAAGCGGCATCGAAGTGGAAATTGCGAAACCAGAGTTTCTAGAAATCTGTGGATCCGATCGCACGGCTTTGATGATATTCTGAATCATCGGAACCATAGCGTTCTCATCCGGGGCTCCCTTATCGTCATAGCAATCAACCGCTAAAACCACCAACTTCTCCCGCCGCCTCAAAACCGGATACTTGCTACTCAAGTTATCAGCTTGCTTCTTCCCCAGTAATTCCGGTTTGCTCTTGATTTCAGGTTTCCTCATCCGGCTCATGATTTGTTTAACTGGATCAGTAGAATTCGGTTCAAGAGACCCGTTCAACGACGGTTTATCTCCATCCACAGAGAGTCTCAGAGACATATCTTGAACGTCTTTCAGAGAGTCGTTGAGTGAAAATTCGTCGTCTTGAGCAGCCATTTCATCTGCATCCGTTTGCCACTGCGGATGTCTCATACGGCACGCGGCTATACGTGTCAGGTAAGTCCGGCAATGCTCAGGCCATGAGAAGAGGTGAATGTTCTTCCAACCGTTAATCCTGCACTCATTCCATAAATTCTTCTCCGATACCAGCTTCAGCAACGCATTCGCTATTGCTTCTTGGTCGTGTGGATCCACAAGCAAACCGTTGTGCAATGCCTGAATTTAAATACCATGAGAAATACACAAGTATTACCAATTGATATGATTTTCAGTTTCAGGACACCTTGCTTACCCGATGTATATCGACTGGTCCTCCATTCTTGGTTGCCACCATAGGAAGTCCATGAGCAGCAGCCTGCATATTTCAATTTTGGTTTAAGTGGATTGGACACTGTGTAAGGACTACACATTTAATCACATATGCATACTTTACCTCAATGAGTGTAAGGCCAAAAGGCTCAACCAAAGCTGGATTTATGAAAACACCCTTTGTATTTGCAGCGAGTCGGTATATATCAGGAACATCAGACTGTTTATGATGCTTTGGATATGCGACAGATCCATAAAGGTCATACTTGTCAATGAGTTTTAAGACGGTTGTTAGAACGCTAGCATTTCCAGATGACAACTCATCTATATCATCTCGATTTCCCATAATCAAAGTCTGCGAAGCATAGAAGAACGAATTTCAGAAACAGAAAATTATTTGGTTCTCAATCCCCGAGAATTCGAAAAACCATGTAAAAGTTACCAGATTAGCTAGCTCCCGTAGATGCCGACATTCTCCAAAAGCTTTCAAAAGAGTGGTTATGTTTTTCTTTGGGTCTGGTCTTGATAATGCCAAGATCATCGGTTTGTGAGGATTTGTAAAAAATCTCATAACCTGCGAAGTTCATGCAGCGAAACATCAAACACAATATGCCAAAACAAACCTCTAAAGAATAATATAATAAAGATGCATAGGAAAACTCACTTCAGACCAGATAGTTGGAACCGCTTTAGGAGAAGATCCTTCGGCTCCTCCTACTAAGGAAGCCAAATCTCCTTCACCCTCAGGTGTATCTTCTTGAACCTCAACGTTTGTGAAATCCATTCCCGGAGGAATGACCTGCACAAACGGACTCACTCACTCAATCTTACGTTAATCAAAACTTTTTCAAGCTGGCTAGTTTTAGGTGTACTTACGGCCATTCTTGGCATGAACCTTCCGTGGCAATTAACACCACGCCTAGCACGAGCTCTCAAGACTTTCTCGAGCTTTACATCGAACCCATCATAGAGTCCCCATTGTTCATCAATCTCCTGCCTCGTGCTAGTTATAACAAGCTCTGCAGCATCCAGAGAAAGCTCCTCTGCTTCAATCCTCCTCCTGATCTTATAGGTGGAATTGATATCCTCCTTGGATTGCCTCCCTTGTTTCAAAAGCTGCTCAAGCTTGTTTCTTCCTAGAGAATGACCCGTCAAGACCATAGGAACGTTTAAAGCACCAGAAAGCAGAGCAGCAGTATCCCCTGCATCAGCGTAATGCCCATGAATCACATATGGCCACACTGGTTTCCCCTTGCCAATCTGTTCTCCCAAAACTTTTGACATGTTAAGAATGTGAGCTAAAGCTCCATCAACGAATTCTTGGATAAAAGGCCAGAGAATCTCTTTTCTTAAGTACTTATCACGTGGACCAAATGGTATTCTAATGATATAAGCTCCACTGCTTTCCCCTGTTTCATCGCCATCACAATCTTCAGCAGAAGCAGTGGTTAGCATCTCTGTTGGCTCTGCATAGCTCCAATCAACATCAGGTGAGCATATCTGGCGCGTAAACAGATCAACTCGGTACACACCAGGCATTCTCGCTAAAGCTCGAGCTAGCTCCACAACATATTTCACCTACAAAGTAAACAAGTTTAGCAATCCGAGACACCACATTCAAAGTTATTGAAAACTTGAAGTATAATATACCTGTCCACCAGTATCCGAATCGCTTCCAAGCTCCATGTTTTCCCCACGAACCAACCCGTGCAAACTGAAAAATCAACACACTCTTGATATGTATATCTAACAAAATCGAAGAAGAATCAAAGGAAGCAAGAGAGAGAAAAAAAAATACCTAATAAGGACAATGTAAAGACGGTTCTCCTTCTTATCATCAGACCAGAGTTCGAGATTGGATAAATTGCGATGCAGTTGTCTTCGAGGTGTCTCCGGTTGCACAATTTCTCCAAGACCATCTCCTTTCTCTCCTTCTGATAAATCGTCAGACAAATCTTCTGCCGCATCTCTTCTTCCTTGTTCCCTTTCCAATCTCCTATTCGCTATTCGCTGCGAATCCTCCCATTCCAACTATAACATCCATCCACCGATATATATATATCTAAGTCCGTAACAGGTTCACATGCAAAAAACAAAATAAAACACAAAAAGAAACAACAACTATGAAGAACCTGCTTCTTCTTGCGAGTGAGATGCCAGATTCTCCAACACATATTCTCCAATCGAGAGTTGCGTTCACGAGAATTGCGAGTGGCGACGACTTTGAGCCAAGTCCGGTGAAGATCGGTTTCATCGACACCAGTAACAACTTCCTCAACGAAGTATTTAGTGGGATTGAAATATTGTCCATCAGCTTCTCGCAGATTCAAAGCCGCTTGTGGTTTCTGCTGTGTTTCTTCAATCCCCTGAGCTTGGCTATCAAGAATCGCCTCCAGATACCCATTTATCCACTCGTTCCCCGCCATTCTGAGTTTTTCCCCGAGCAAGTTCTGTTTCTCTTCTTTTTCTCTCGAGATAAGGGGGATCTTTCGTTCTTTCTTGGAGAGTAAGAAAGTAAGAGTGAGTTAGCGTGAAAGAAAGAAACAGAGAGCTGAAAATGAAAAGTGTAAACAATCGAGACAAATAGAAAGCTAAAAAGTGATTGCGGGAAAAAGTTTACTTTAGGGAATTCTGGGTAAAGAAGGTCAGAGGATTTTACACAAATGGCGGATTTAACGTGAGAGAGAGAGAGAGAGAGAGATCATCGGTAGAGTAGTCTAGTGTAGTAGCATGTGCATTCAGAGAAAGAGCAACTTAGCGGTGGGTGGATGACGACACGTGTATGTGTCGACGTGGCAATGCAACTGAAAGAGAGATCAAATAGGAGAGTTTGTTTTATCTTCTCTGTCCGCTTCCCTATGCGATTCTCTCTCTCGAAACCCTCTGATCCACTTAGCGACTTCCACGATATATACTTACTAAATCTCATTTTCTTTTTTCCTAAATCAGAATTACTATTACTGGCGGTAGAAACATCTTCTACGATTTATCCCTCAGATGATATGGATATGTAAGACGAGAAAACTTTATTGTCAAACTGGTTAAAAGAAGTGACTAATATCTAGGAAACAACTTTATCTTCCTCCTTTGTTTTAGGAAGAATGACACACACATTGACAATTCAATGAGTAGTCCTACTAAATCTATTGTAGAGGAAGAGAAAAACACACCTACTGCACGTATGTTACGTGGTAACTACTATGCTAAATCAACAACAGTCATATATATAAAAGCTAGGTCCTAACAAAACTTTACCGTTCTAATTTCTCTTAATGCTTTCATTTTTCTTCTTCGGATCGTGGCAGAAGAAGAGCTATTCTTTCTTTGTACCTCTTGATCTTCCTCAACCGTTCTTCTCTCAATCTGAAACCATAGAAATCCGCTTTTTCAATTACCAATATCTTATCATTTAAGACTGATCGATGAATCTTGCTGGGAGGTTTATCTTTCAAGTACTACAGTACAGGATCAAAAGAGCAAAAAGAGACGACAAGAAAGAACTATTGCGGAGCTTACCGTGCACGGATCTTCTTAGCTCGCTCAATGTGTCTTTTCAAAAGATCTTTCTCTGATAATTCTTTTACAGCTTCCTCGTCCTAAGATCATAAAGACAAGAGTGGAGACAAAAATTTCACTTAGTGACAATAGCTGAAACTAGCAACAGCAGGAAAGAATCAGACTGATGTGTTCCATTATGCTCAGGTAGAATCTACTGTTCTTGAAAAGTTAACACAAACCTCTTCGTCTTCATCAGCTGATTCTTCAGCTGGCACGCTTGTCTCTGTCATATCCACAGGTAACGGCCTTGGTAAAGGTTTCATTATACCACTCCTTTGCGGCTGTCAACAGAGAAACTGCAAGTTAGATTGGTCCCAGATATATAACTACCCTTATTGGTTACGCTGGAGGGATTGCAGATTCACAACTCCATTGTAAAAGCGGGACAGAAGCTTTAAGTTTGCATGTTGAAGATCATTCGAATAAGGTTGACTTAAAAAAACAAATCAAGAAAAAATCCTCTATCTAGTTTACCAGCACGATGCAAATAGGTGGATAGACAAAACTAACTAAGTTTCCAAATTCGAGTAAAATTGGCATTTTGAAGAGGGCTTCTTAATCAAAACCTCACAACCCATTATCTCGAAAGTAACAACCGATTAATCCTTATGTCAACTTGTCAAGCGGAATAATCTACGACATTAAGCTTTTTACATCATACTTTAACGGCAGAAATACAATGATGCGAACCTGAATTCCTACGTGAGCACCATTTTTTAACCACGATCGACCAAGTGAGTAAAGAGAAGCTCCTTCAGTGATTCTGACCTGTAAACAATTGATAAATGTCACAATCTAAACTAAACAGATGTCTTTTGCAAACTCTCAAACAAGCAATACATATGATAATGCAAACAGAGATACATAGTAGGCTTAGGCTTACCTTTCTCCCTCTAACAAGAATAAGAGCCTCATCCTTGCCTCTAATACCAAGGAAGAAGAAACAGCAAAACAACTAAGTTTCTCGAACAAGTTTATATATATATATATAAGTTTCTCAATGAATCCAAAAGAAAGATAATATATAAGTAGAGAAATCTGATGTTCACCTGGCCTTTCTATTCCTGCTGGTGTCTTGAACAGAAGTTCGGGGCGGGGCAACCTAAGTAGTCGACAAATGATCATGAGTAGTTGTATTTGAGAAAGATAAGCACTCTTCTAAACCTATTGACAAATGATATACTTGCATAATCCGATTAGTTAATAGACAGACAACAAATAAAAAGAACCAATCTTCCATATTTTTGAGCAACAGGTAAATTCATGTTCATTAGTAATAAGAGAATGCTAAACTAATCAAAATTCAAGTAACTACACGCATCAGTTCAAGTGAGAAGCACTCTAAAGAAAATGGATACAATAATAACCAAGATGATTCTCAACCGCAGAGCAGTCAATTCTACTAAGCTTCCAATCAAAATTAGCAATAATCTTTCCACTACTCAACTAGAATCTAAACATTAAGAAATGAAACAAACCAAGCAGAATTGGCAGGAAGCTAAGAGTTAAATAAGCAAAAAATCTGACCCGCGGTTGCAGAAACTGAGGACTTCCTCGCCTGGGACCCGACCCAACAGGAGAAGCCGCTCCAAGGCGTGGTAACTGAGGATTTCTCCCCCTCATTAACTGCATCATGGTTTCCATTTGAGTCGGTCCAAACTGTCGAAGATTGTAAGCCACACCCGGGCGAGGAGGGTACCCACTCTGATCAGCGAGGAACCCTCGAACGGGTCGGGCTGGAAACCCTCGACCCGGAGGAGCAAACGGGTAAAGAACCGCCGACGGATCTTGATTCGGGCGTATGTTTGGAATTGACTGCGCGTAGAGGTTATTATGAGCTTGTTGTAACGGATTAGGATGGCGAAACGGAGCTATGGGTCTGTAAGTCGGCGGCGGTGGTGGCGGCGGAGCAGGAGGTGGCTGAGACGGCGGTAGTATGGTAGTGTTTACTGGTCTCGCAAGAGTTTCGGAAGCGGTGGAGAGAGACGGAGACTCCATTACAGAAGCGGAGGCGTTGGAATCGGGAATTGACATTCCGACGGCGGAAGGAATTTGTCGATTCGATGTTCAAAAAAAAACAAAAAAAAAAAGTTTCAAATTTGGTCTCACGGTTTAATATTGCGCTAACCCTCTGGTTCGTTTGGAGGTTTCTAGGTTTTGGGCCGATATGGGCCTTATTGTATCAGAGTGAATTTATAAGCACGGGAGTTAAGAGTGAGAGAGATCGCATTTCCTTTAATTGGGAGAGAGAAGGATAGGATTCAGAAGGATGATGAAGTATAGATGAATGCGCGATAAACCCTTGCTCTTCTTCTTCTACCTTCAGCTTCGATTGTTCTCAGCCTCGGTTCGTAACTTCTTCTTCCTCTAATTTCTCTCATGGGTTTAAGAAATATATTTATCGATTTTGTTTGCTTTATGGGTTAATATATAATTCGTGGAAGCGCTGGGTTAGGTTTGCAATGTTCTAGCTAGTCTTGAGTAATCTCTAGGAATCGGAATTGATTGCTATCTCTCAGGAGTTTTGTGTTCATTGGATGAGATTTTATATGTTTACAGTCATTCTGCTCAAATTCGGTTTCCCATATTTCGTTTGAATAAATAAACACTTCAATTTTTTTCATCTGGTTTTGTATGGATAGGTAGTTTAGTTGGCAAGGATGATAACTGGATGTAGCACACCAAGTGCACATGTTCTAACGAGCCCTCGGGCATTCAAGTCATCATCATACAGAGCTGTATCAGGACGGACTCATCATTGTCTTGCTCGAAGTTCATTGTCTTCACCATTTAATGAGCTTCAATCTAGAGTGCCGAGAGGCATGTGAATTTCTTCTATTCATATGGTTTCAAACACATAATACCATCAAAAGACTTTTTCAGAGTTCCTGCTTTTGTTTACTTGACGCAATCTTGTGTACTTTGATTGTTTCAGGTGTGCCTCTGTCATATCTCTCTGCCTCGTCTTCTCTGCTTCTGAATGGAGAACAAGGTAGTTTGTCTGGTACATTACCTGTGTTACCTGTTCGAAGAAAAACCCTTTTGACCCCGCGAGCATCAAAAGATGTACCTTCTAGCTTCCGATTTCCTCCAATGACCAAAAAGCCACAATGGTGGTGGAGAACGTTGGCATGCCTACCTTACCTAATGCCTCTGCACGAAACATGGATGTATGCAGAAACAGCTTACCATCTCCACCCGTTCCTAGAAGATTTTGAATTCTTAACCTACCCATTTTTGGGCGCCATTGGAAGACTGCCAAGCTGGTTCCTCATGGCCTACTTCTTTGTAGCTTATCTAGGGATAGTGCGGAGAAAAGAATGGCCGCACTTCTTCAGGTTCCATGTAGTGATGGGTATGCTTCTTGAAATCGCTCTTCAGGTTATTGGAACCGTTAGCAAGTGGATGCCTCTTGGAGTCTATTGGGGTAAGTTTGGGATGCACTTCTGGACTGCTGTTGCGTTTGCTTATCTGTTCACAGTCCTGGAAAGCATACGGTGTGCACTTGCGGGTATGTACGCCGATATTCCGTTCGTCTGTGATGCTGCGTATATCCAGATCCCATACGACTAATAGGAATCATCAGTAGATCGTTGTAACTCTTTGATTTATATATTGTGTTTGTTAGGGCCTTGTGTTGTTACTATGTCTCTTCTTGAATTATGTTTGTAATATTTCATCGTTTCATGAACTCAGTACTCAGCCATCAAAATTTTAGTCATTTGAACATGGATCAAACCAAAAATCTGAAGTTTTAACTTGTTTGGATCAAGTCGTAAGTTATAAGCGAAAACAAGTATGAGATATGTTTCAAAGAAACTATAAGTAGGTGGACTTAATTGTAAAGTTGAAAATATATATATCTCCTCTCACATATTATTGTTATTTATTTACCTCCAAAATTACTCTTTTTAAAAACCCTAATTTTGACACCCGTAGTTCACATAAACCCTGAGCTCGCCCACCACCAAAGAGCCTCGACGAGGACAACATTGATCCGGACCAAGATGGGAAGTTCGGTCTGCGACGAGTGCAAGCTAAATCCTTGGAAGTACAAGTGTCCCGGATGTTCGATTCGATCGTGTGGCCTCTCTTGTGTGAAAGCCCACAAGCAGCGAACAGGTTGTACCGGAAAAAGGAAGCTCACCGACTTCGTCCCCCTCTCACAATTCGACGATAATCTCCTTCTTTCTGGTACAGTTGAACTTGAGTTTGAATTTCGTGAAAAATCGATCTTTAAAGTCCTATTATGATCTGCTGTATACATGTTTCCATGGATTATGCTTTGACAATTCGTTTTGGTAGACGTTACTTTCTTGTTTAATTGATGAATTTTGTTTTAATATATGTTTTCTGTGTTAGACTACAATATGCTTGAAGAAACAAAAAGAGTGGCGGAGGCTGCTCAGAGAATGAGAAATAAGTTATGCACATACCCTTTTTATAAGTTACCCTATCATCTTCGGAGTCTTCGAACTGCTGCTGCTAGCCGCCGAACAAAGCTATGGTTTGCCCCTAGTGGAATGTTGAAGAGCGAAAAGAATCAGAGTCGATACGATAATAAGTAATCCTTTTATTCTAAGCTTGAGCTCCATGATTACATATATGTTATATCAAAATTCAGGGTTTTTGTGTATTATTTTGTGGTACTCTCAGCCGTGCTAATATCCCTTCTAGTGTATGGTTAGGATCAAGGACTTATGGTTTTCCAAGTTTGGGGGTTAATCTGTTTGTATGAGTTTGTCAAAGCTTAATTTTTCTCTGCAGTTTTTTTTTTTGTTTTCGTTTGATGGTCAATGATTTAGCTTTAGAATAGTCATTGTAATTGATCTTGATCTTCTTTGCCTTAACTAAATTGATTCTATAGCCTTACTTCCTAACCAGTCCTTTGCTGTTGATGGATTTTTGCCGTAGGAGGAGATGCATCTCGTGGACAATTGAGTGGCGGTTTCACTCTACGGATGTGATTCTTGTTGACCACGGGTTAGTATTCTCTTGGACTGAAAATCATGTTTGTTTATTGGTCTGTCATGTTGATACTTATACAAATTCCATCCCAGAGTTGGTGAAGATACAAATCTATGCTCGGTGATAGAGAATCATCTCAAGCCTGGACCGTGGATTCACAAGCTCAAGCCTTTCTGTGATGTGGATCTTGACTCTCTCAAACTTTTTATACGCCAATACCCAAAGGTTTGGTCTTATTCCCACTATCATTCCCATCTTTGTTGGTTCATATTATTATATATTATGCCATGGCTAACAAAATATTAATCTTTTTTCCCTTGGTCACAGGGTGCAAAGGCTCCTTTCAAGGAGCTGAACATCAAAGCTCCCTTGAGGCAACAGCTTGCCAAAATAGTTATATTAGAGTACCCAGTGATCCATGTATATCTACCTTCACAGAGCTATGACTTTGAAGTTATCAAAGACTTCTACCATACAAACACGACACCTAATCCTGTTGATTCCTTATATGATGGTCATGGAAGCACAAATGGTATAACCTTCCGAGAAGAAGAAATAGAAGAAGACGACATTGACTCCTTTGAGCCAAAGGTTCTTGATCTTCTGAAACAAATGAACTATAACCCCTGTCAGCAAGCCTCGGAGGAAAGCAAGGCTGCGGGAGGGGTCTCCGACAATCCGCATCCTCAGGTTGATCCCACAGAACAAGGGGATGCTGGTAACATGGAGCTTGAGTTTGAGCAAGAGTTAATAGACACATACTCGGATCTTTTTGCGGAAATGAACCCAGGTGATTATTTCAACTTTGAATGTGAATTTGCAAAGGGATTGGATTCAGATGATAATTGCAATCTCCAAACTTTAGCTACTGATTTCAACATTGATGGACTAGAAGAAGGGGAAATCATAGAATGATGATTGTCAGTTGCTCTGTACCGGCAAAAAGAAATTACTTCCGGTGAAATCTGGCCGCCCTGGATTATGTTCACGCCTGTAGCTACCGTTTTCAAGTACATTAGCTATTCTCGGTGTCATCCAAAGCTTCTACTGGAATGCAATAGCCAATCCATTCGATTGCAGAATCAATGCTCATAAGTTTGGAATCGATGCTCATTAGTTTTTACTTTGGGCTTTCAATGTTTATGTAGTTTCTAGATTACTTGGCTGTTTTGGGTGTGTAGCAAAATTGAATGTTTAAATACAAGATTACTGAAATGAAGAGATCCCAAACTGTTGTTCAGTCTTATCCTCTTATACGTATATCATCATAAACATATCTTGTCGTGTATCAGACTGTTTTCATAGTCAACGTATACCAAAGTTTCTACTTAAAAAGTTCTTTAGTAACGAACCAGGAGGAGGATCAACAAGATGTAAGTAAATATTATACGAACGGATATTGTATACCGAGCAATAAGAAAGAGAGCATACACGCAAACAGAAATATAAAAATTTGTAATCTAGATCATAATCATACCTGTTAAACTATATTTGAGGAAACAAATACATCGACTAAGTAATCATTAAAACTCTAAATATATACATTGAAGCCGTCGACATTTACTCGATTTGCAACTTTTCAATTCAACTCAATCCACCCTGCAGGCTTAGGACTTCGATATCCCTCAAGCTTGTAAAGAAGCACTAAAGAGTTGGCCTGTGGACATTGACACGGATCTGAATGAGTTGAGGATCCTTCGGGTCTTTTGATTTCACAACATGCTAAACGCATTCACACCCAGAACCATGAGATTTATATCGATGAGGCAAACAGCACATGTACCTCTTATTGGTTAGAGGAATACGGACATCTCTGTAGAAGGGATAAAGGGAAGAATCCTATCACCATAGAGTTCGTGTAGTTTCACCAAGAGCCGCCCGGAGTCAAGATCATCTTTCCATATCTGATCAAGGATTGCTCTCATAGTAATAGCCCGATCCCTGCCGCTTTCTTTCACTTTTCCATTTCTGCTTTCAGATTCGTTAGCATCAGAAGTTTGTTCTGATGAGGATGGTTGAACAGAGTTTTGTGGGGGATTCTCATTTTCCACTGGATTATCTACTTGCATTGGAGCTGAGCCAGTGTGATCTTGTGATTGTACACCATCTGGACCATCCATAGTTATCAATATTTTCCTGGGTGATTGGTTTTTTGAAGAGTCTACACTCAGCTTCCGCTTCTGGGGCTCAATATTGATTATCTTTCCCTTTCCCTTATCAAGGAAACTTGGTGATGGAGATGGTAAAGGTGGGAAGATTTTAAGGCGATCATGTATACACAAGCCTGCAGCACGCTGAAAAGCAAAATGGCACAGGTCCGTCAAAGAATGCCACTGATAATTCCATAACGATGAAATTATGCAAGGATTTCATGACTAACCAGCAAAGCTCCATATACACGCCACGCTTCGTAGCTCTTTGTCTGATTCTTTTGCTTCTCAGCATCTAGTTCCGGTTCAAGGAGACGTAGATATGGTTCAAGGTTTGATACAAGAAGAAGGCGTACCTACACAAGAAATAACATTCAAATGAGGAAAGCTAACAATGCAGGATAGCTGTGCTGAAGTTTTTGATAGCAGGATTATCTGATTCATGGAAGAGCTATTTAAGACTATAAAAGTCTACTTTCTCAATAATATGAGATGCAAGTCGGGAACAAGGTGTGGCGGGATCAAATTGTATATAGGATTCCTGTAAAGACCCTATATAGAAGGATGTGATAGATAACATTATCTCTGCGTGATATCTAATATTAGCATGCACAAACATTCTGAAAGGTCAAGGAATGACTTACAACATTGTGCCCCAAAGCTGCTAATCCTTGAATTGCACCATAGTGCTGAGTCAAAGCCTTTTTTGAGTCCAAAAGTGCATTGACTAAAGTTTTTGTAAGACGAGACTGGAGAGTAATATAAACAGCTCCATACCTGGAAGATTTCATTCAGACCACAGGGTTTCAGATGTTAAAGAATATTACGGTGAGATATGTGATATAAAAGTACAAGAAAATGGCTAACCCTTCTACGTAAAGGAGAAGACTATAGCAAGTTATTACTTATTGTTGTTAATTCAGACTTACCCATTTGTTTTTCCGCTCGAGCAGAAAGAAAAAGCAGATGTCAATAGCAAAGAGATCATCTAAAATAATTTAAGCAGACCATCTCAGGGTATTGCATACAATTTCAGTATAAAGTTTCATTATTAGTTCCAGTAAGCAATTATGTTCAGATCCCCACAATAAACGAAAAGCAAACACAGAGTTCATCACATGAAGGGAAAGAATAAACCTTTTACATATCAGGGCAACCAGATTTGCCGTAAAATCTCTGAGCTCCCAATGGTTGTCAGAAAATCTATTTCCAAGCTTTTTTGATACAAGGCATGTTACAACAGATGGCATCAATTGGTGGAGCTGACACCAAAAGAAAAAGTCCACTCAGCTTCATGGTTATGAAACAACGCTCAAACAGCCAACTCACTATCCCAAGGCTAAACTACATAGACATTATCCCAAGGCTGGCTTAAGTAATCTCAGTACAGATCAAAAGCATAATTTATTATTCATTTAAGGCAGAGGAGAGTACTTCCACACTTGAACTTGCATAACACAGACAAACACTACCACTAAACACCTTATATCCATAGTATGGAATATTAAATTAAAACTTGAAGAAGCCAAATTAAAAGCCTAAAGAAAATGGAGCTAACAATGTTTCCTAGATAGTGGCAAAAAATAGTCGAGAGAAAACTTACATAAGGCTCTATATGTATGTGAGGATTCTGAAGAAGACTTCTAACAGTGTGCATTAGATTAAACAAGAGTTGGAAGTCATTTAAACCACGTGAAACCTGCACCAGTGGAGAAAATTAAAACTGTAATCTGTAAAAGCTAATCATGGGTCTTCATTCTTTATACGAATTGCTCTTTGGTACATAATGTTTACCTCATCAGCAATGAAATTTGTAAAATATGGAACTAGAGGGTGAAGTCCTGAGTCTGAGGCCAAGCTTACTAATGCTTCTTTAAACAGAGCAGGATTTGACTTGCTCATTGCAAGTTCAGCAATCTTTTGGAAGTATAACTGTTAAGAGAATATAACAGATAAGTCTTATGCATGTACGATAGTATCCTGTGGTATTTAGTCTACATCATACCTGAAGTTCCCTAGATAGTACGTGCTTCACTGGTAGCCTAATGTCAATCAGAGGCCCGTCTTTTTGTTCATGGATTCTGTTTTCTGCAGGTGCTCTAATGACTAGAGACAGCACAAACAAGTGAAAAATATATTCAACACAGGAAAGAACAAGGCATTTCTTCAAAATTTTCTTGCTCATGATGATGAGCAAAACATTAATACAGATGGATCTGAATATATTTATTTTGATCCCTCATTAACATCAAACATAGAAAGAGGCTAGTTCACCTATGAATTCTGAAATATCACTGTACAGACTAATCTTTGTTCCATGTTGAAAAATTCAGTAAATGACTTCAGAACTCTAACCGAGACATAAGATTGAGAGACAAACCTTCTAAGGGAGCATTTTCTGGTATAGCTGGTTGCACTCCTTCAATAGCAAGCCAGTGACAAACAATTTCAGTATCAAGGGGAGCTTTTGGTAGTGGGGCTTCAATCACCTAAAACCATGAAATTTCTTGAAAAACGAAACAAAGAGCTTTAGCTGAAACAAAGAAAATATGCCAAATATCTTACCTCTTTGAAATCTACTTCTCTGTCATCAGTGTAGAACAAATCCCGATGGCCAATAGCTTTTCTGAAACGAAATGGTGCTCCTGAGGCAAAGCCATATATCGGCTGCAATAAACATGATCATTCTCAATAGATGCCTTAGAATTCAGTTAACTGCTATTGTGAAACATGTGAAAGCAATGTTTAACAGATGGGGCTATTCATATCCACCAGTAAAGCCAAACCTCAAAACCAGAAACCAGAAACCAGAAATATGGTTTACTGATAATCCACTAGCAAAACTCTAGATAAGGGAATTGGTGTCTAGTAAGGTACCTCAACGTTCCTTAAGTTGAGAGCACCATCAACATCCGAAGCTGTTAAAGTCGTTCTCTTTGAGTGACGCATGCATTTGATAGCTTCCTGAGACGACACCCAAAAAAACATGAATATGCTATTACCCAAAAAAAAACTCACCATAAAAACATAAGGACATGATTTAAGAAGAAAAAAAAAAGAAATCGGAAAGAAAAAAAGGTGACCTGCATGATCTCTCGAACACGATACTCAACATCAGGAGCAAGCATAAGAGCAGCCTCAGGTAACAAGTTGGTAATCCCAATACTTTGAGCTATAACCTCAACCGTTTCCTTAGGTACAATGCTCATCTTCTCTTCTCTTACCCAGACTGATTAAGCACTGTGGCAATAAAAAGGACACAGAAGAAACATCAACAATGATGATTTTGAGCACACAAAGTCTCCCAATTGAAACGCCTGGGCATACACTATGAATCGCAATTAAACAACAGCCAGAAACACACATATGCTAGCTACTGCAATACCACTCCGGAAGCTGCGATAAATTTTCCCCATTACCCAAATTTGACCAAAGAAATAAGTTGGAAAATTTACATGAAGCAGAGAAGAATTTGCTCTGAACGTCCGAGATCGAGACCACTTGAGAGGAAAGAAGCTCCGATTAACCGATGCCAAGTTCCGTCAAGCCTCCTCTAATTTGTGTGCAATTCACCCGGTTAGATAAGTTCGGGATCAATTTAACTTTGGACCAGCTCTTATCAAATTTGGGCCTTGTTAGCAGCCCATTAAGGACGAATGTTTTCTATCTCTGCCAAATAATAAAAAATACGAATGCTTATTATTCAAGAAAACAAAAGTTGAGACCATTGAAGAAGACCAAAAGAAATATAGAAAAACAAAGGTCGAGACGAATCCATGGTCCATCCATCAATTTTATTTTTCATTCCACAAACAGAACGTGAAAGCGTTATTCGCACTCTTTCTTTACAAACATCAAAGAGGAGACAAAAATTAATTAGGGCAAAATACAATGTTGGTGGATGCCATCACATGTGTTACTTTACTTGCTGGAATTTTTCTTTTCTTCTTTTGTACATAAAAATAAATAATTGCCACTCCCAGTACTAACCAGTAGTATCAGAACCTGGGAGAAGTATAAAAGCAAATTCTTTGTATATCAACCAAAATAATAATAATTAGGATAGTCCTGGAACATCTCTTGCCCAAGATATCCCACCCGGAAACGCTCTATGAACTCTTGGTCTTGCCGCAGGTACGGCTTTTGTTTTTTCCCCCACCGGTTCCGCCATCACTGCTATTTCTTTCGGCTTCTGTATTACGTTGGCTGCATCCTTGCCGTCCGTCAGAAACCGCAGACCCTATAGTTTCCATAGCTTTTAAGTTTTAGAAAGCCAAACCAACAACATGAGATAAACTAATAGCAGCTACAACATGTACTTCCAGCTTTCATGATACTGGAATGAGGACTTTCTTTCAATATATGTAAATTCAAGACAAATGATCTTGCTTAATTTTTTCAACCATCAGTAGAACATAAATGCAAGTTTAGATGATGTGATAAAGGTATTGTAGCATTGTTACCGAGAGAGGATTATTAGTAGTTGATGGTTTTCCATCGATGGGTAATCTTGCACCAACATCCTAAACACAAGAAGCCATAAACAATATGTTTTTTTCAATCAGGCCTATCATTACGTGAAAAAATAAGTAAGACAAGGTTCCTCTTCATTTGTAAGGCAACACTCACCTGAAAGACTTTAGTGCTTGTGCTTTCTTTAACGCCTGCAATTTGACATAGATGCCATAGTCCTGAGAGGGTCACGTCCTAAAAAAGTTTAGCAAAAAATAAATGTTTGAGATAAATTAGTTTTAAGAAAATTGATAGCGTGAACTGGTTAAATGGTTGTAGACAACTTACTTGTTTGCTTTCAAGACTTTCAATCTTCCCTTCCTAAGAAAGTAAAAAAGGTATTTAGTCCCTTCAAAATACATTGAGTCTTGTCCAAAATATGCATATTAGAGGGGAAAGAAGAGACTTACTATTCCAGAAATCATTTCATTAAGTTGTTTAAAATCAAAACCAATTTGTGATATACTTGATTTCATCTCAGTTACCTGCATTGAAGCAAGATTCCATGTGAACACATTAGCATTAAAATGAATATCAAATACAGGCAATGGTATACAGAAATAAGAATCAAGTTGAAAGAAACTACTGCACAACCAGAGTTAAACTACATGAACCCATAGTATATATAAAATTGAGCTACAAACCCTTTAAAAAGTATAGCAAAACCCACCCAGGAATCTATTGTTCATGTGGAAAAAAAAAGCTTCAGAACCAACGAGATCGGATGCTAATATATAAATACTCTACAATCTAAATGTACTTCAAGTCCTTATAAGATGTATATTATGTCTGCCATCACGTGGGAAAGATCTCTCAGACGAATGTAGTATAATTTTCATAACCTGAAGTCTAGGAAAAATTAAGGCATCAATACAAGAAACGGAGAAATAAAAAGGGTTTTCTTACATCACTTAAGATCATCTTAGATGCCTCGTTCTGCTCTTCCACCTTCCAATCCAAAGTCGCTAGCTTCTTAGAAAGGTGTTTCTTAGTTGACTACGTAAATCAAAATGCATTGAGTCAAAAACCACAAGAAAATAAAATATATAACAGAGGAATGCTTCAAAAAAGAATTTTTGTTCACCGCTAATGTGTCTGACAAATCATCTAGTTGTTTCGAAACAGAGGCAACCGCATCAGCCATATTTTTCTTTGTCACAAACATTGCATCAGAGAATGACCAGCCCTGTAATGTAGAAAGAAGGGAGTAAGATTTGGGTAAACATCAAAAGTCAATGATATAAGGAACCATAGTGCATCGATAAGCTACATGTTACAAAACTATAACAAAGGAAACATGGAACATAGAAAAAATAGACATCATTTCAAGAGATAAGCACCTTCCACCACATGTAGCAGTACCCCATAGCTCCAACAGCAGCTGCTGGAACCAGGTAAGATGCATAGCCTACATTAGCAATAGCAAAGATTATTCCTGTTTCCCATAAAAAATAAACATAATTCAAATATTTCCTAGATTATCAAAAGTTCTACATAAACATATACGTAAAACCTAGGACTTGTACATTACCATTAGAGTTTGAATCTCCATTAAAGATGGTAACTGGATTGGTCATAGTAAGCTCCTTAATCTCGTTTGCAAGCTGTCGAATCTGGTTATCAAGAAAAAACAAAAATTATGTCACTAAGAAGAGGGTCTAGCATTGACCTAGTGATTGCAAGAAACACATGAAATCTTTCCTATGTGGATTGTATATGTTCGACTAATGAGAAAAGTTAAGTGGCAAAACCTGAGCAGCTAGGAGTGCACCGTCATACTTAAATGGAGTGCTTTCAACTCCTTCAGCTCCTTTGAGTAAGTCTTGAAGTTGGGCTATAAGATCAGACAGCCTCCCATGTCTCAATACGATCGAACCAGATACACCTTGACATGAAAACACAACCAAGTATCAGTTACATGAATCCTTAAGAGTAAAAATTTCAAGCTAGAATAACTAATCAGTTGTAATAATTGAAGCTGTAAACCAAAATAATTAGAAAGTTCAATAACAAATTAGAAGTTCTGAACCATTTTTTGCATAGTGATGCACCAAATTGACAGAACTTAAGATAAGTTCCAACCTAAATCTTTCTAAACTCTAGAAAAAATTCCATAGATTATACAGAGTCAAAGCAATACGAATCGTAACAATCGAATTCATGACTAGCAAACATCAAAGTGAGAAAGAGACCTGCGCCGAGGAGGATAAGGACCTTAGAGGTCTGAACACCGGCTTGCACCGCCATGAATTCCGGTTAAAGCTACAAAGATGGGCGGCCTTCTCTTGTCTGATTCAATTCTCTGTTCCGTGACGCAAAGCCACCATAAGAGACGAGTTACGACAACCTTTTGCCCTTTAGACCTCAGCTTTCGCTTTAATTGACCAGAAAGATAAATATGTTAAAAGTTTATGTTTTCGCCCAAAAACTTCCTATTTCAATCTAATTACTCCCAATGAGGCAATGCAAATCGAATGACTAATAAGGTTATTTAAAAAAAAAAAAAAAAAGACATCTCGTAATTAATCCAAACCATTACGCAACTTTTTTTTTTTTTTTTTTTTTTTTTCATTACGCAACTTGCTTGACACTACTCACCTTCTTGTGTGTTCAGCTGTTCTTCTTCATTGAATAGATTAAAAAAATTGTGCAATTCCAAAAAAAGAAAATTGGGAATTTCCGGCATGGATGTGGGACGATGCTTTCTCTTTCTTCTATTACCAAGTTTCCTCTTATTGCCTACACATTCGCAGACGAGTGATTCGTTCACATCGGTTCTGGTGTCTCAAAACGGACTCGATTTCGTCAAAAACCTTCTAGTTAACAAAGCAATCGCGTCGATTATACCTCTGCAGGTTCCCAGGATCGAGAAATCTATGCGAATCCCGTTCCTTGGAGGAATTGATGTTGTCGTCTCGAATCTTACGATATACGAGCTTGATGTTGCGTCGTCTTATGTTAAGCTTGGCGATACAGGTGTTGTCATCGTCGCTTCGGGGACGACTTGTAATTTGAGTATGAATTGGCATTATACTTACAGTACTTGGCTTCCTCCTATTGAGATCTCTGATCAGGGGATCGCATCTGTTCAGGTAATTATTATGACTTGCCGATATGTATTCTTTAGTTCATATGATCAGAAAGTGTTCAAATTGAAGCACGTGCAAGGTCAAGTCCTAGTTTTTATTGCAGATTTTGGTTAACTTTTGTGGGTTGTGTTTGTTTTGAATCGGTTGTGCGGTATCCTTGGTACTTCACCCATATAGGAGACTTAAGATTTAATTTGTCTCCTAATCAATTCACTTTCACTTACTTACCTTTACATGTGACTTGGGAAACAATCGAAAGACAAGCTTTTCCTGCGAATCACAAATTCTGTTCTGTTTTGTCCTTATGTTTCATGATTGTTTTCATGGGAATCGGAGCAGTCGTGCTCTGTGTACCATTCTTGTTTTAGTTAGTTTGTTGCTCTGCTCATTTTTATATCTGTTTTACAAAGGGAATTTGCTGAGTGCTGATTCTCGCCTTCTCGGTAAGGTTGAAGGCATGGAAATTGGGTTGTCTCTAGGCTTGAAAAGTGATGAGGGAGGCTTGAAAATTTCTCTTTCGGAATGTGGGTGCCATGTGAAAGACATTACCATTGAGTTGGAAGGAGGAGCATCATGGTTTTATCAGGGGTATGAAAATTATTTGCTTATTGATAATAGATCCACTCCCCCATAATGCAAGACAGGTGGTTTCTATGGCTGTTGGTTGGTTTTCATTTGAACTTGATTTCTTCTCTGCAAATTCAGGATGGTTAATGCCTTTAAAGACCAAATTGGGTCAAGTGTGGAAAGTACGATTTCCAAGAAACTAACTGAAGGAGTGTCAGACCTTGATTCATTCCTACAAAGCCTTCCAAAGGAAATCCCAGTGGATGATAAAGCTGCACTTAATGTCACATTCACCAGTGATCCTATATATAAAGATTCGTCCATCACTTTTGAGATTGATGGCTTGTTCAACAAAAGGGAAACAAATCAAGTCTTAAAGTCCTTCTTTAGAAAGTCTCTATCTTCAGTTATCTGCCCTGGAAACTCTCAAATGCTCGGAATTTCAGTGGATGAAGCTGTCTTTAACTCTGCTGCAGCTTTGTACTACAATGTAAGTTCCTAAGTCTTTTGGTTTCTTGGGTATAATATAGTAAACAGAGAAAGAATGCTCTTGATAAATCTGCCCCGTATGTTTTGAATACATCTGAAACAATATTACTATCTTCCACTGTTGTTACTAATATGAGGATGTTTACTCTTGCCTTATTCAGGCAGAATTTATGCAATGGATTGTGGATAAAATACCAGAGCAGTCTCTTTTAAACACCGCTAGATGGAGGTTCATCATTCCACAACTATACAAGAAGTACCCTAACCACGATATGAATCTCAACATCAGTTTGTCTTCACCTCCACTTGTAAGGATATCAGAGCAATATGTTGGAGCTAATGTTAATGCAGACCTAGTAATCAATGTTCTCGAAGCAAACCAAGTAATACCAGTAGCATCCATCTCCTTGGTGAGTCCTCCAATTACACATGTTGCATATTTTTTGTTCTAGATACCTACTATAAACAATTTTGCAGTGAACTATATATCTTAGTCGACCAGTAGATGATCCACTGTTTCCTTTTCTGCAGGTGATCCGGGGATCTGGTGCTCTCAGAGTCATGGGTAATAACCTTGGAGGCACCGTAAGTTTACAAGATTTCTCCATGACTTTGAAATGGAGCAACATTGGAAATCTCCACCTGCATCTTCTTCAGGTAAAACCATCATGTCAAGTGTTTAAAGCACTCATCTGTTTGACTCAGAAAGATTTCATTCATTCTTAACATTTGCATGTGTTTGTTTATCTTTTTCCGATCTTCTAGCCAATAGTGTGGACTGTTATACAAACAGTTTTTGTGCCATATGCGAATGACCATCTAGAAAAGGGATTCCCTTTGCCCATAATCCATGGATTCACACTTGAGAATGCGGTAATTATCTGCTCAAGCTCTGAAATCACAATTTGCAGCGATGTCGCCTACTTGGATTCATCCCAACTGCCTAAGTCACGTTTGAGTCTACCAGGATCCATGCCTTTGGAAACAAAGTGGTTGTAGTTTACAATTAGCGGTTATAGTGTTGCTACTGGTATGGTATTCAGACCAGTAGCAAAGAAAGCTTTGTATACTACTGTACTTTTGTATTTCATGTTGACTAAACTGTGTATGCTCTACTTCTGTATAAAATAAAATAATCCTTGTAATTACTATGGTGTAAAAAATCGGCTATGGTAATTAATTGTTCAGATCATATCAAAGCTGAACGATTCACAAAGTCTATATACTCTGTTTCAACTATTTGAATTGATTCATTGGCCTTGAGTGGTACATTTTAACAGACTTTTTTAAAACTAAAACTGCACCAATGATGCAAAAGAGAAGTTCACAAGTCATCCTTGGACTCGGTGGAGGCAGCGTCATCATTTCCCATGAGTTCTTCAAGTGAGAATTCATCTGCATCAACTAGCTCTCCGTCTTTACCATCCCAAGCTTCTGTCTTCACTATCTCCAATGTTCCATCAATAGGCAAATTCCCTTTTCCTCCTCTCGCAGTTTCCTTTACGAAATCTCTGATAAACAACATAAGAAGAAGACCCGTTTTGAGCTTGCTACCAAAAAAATAATATGCATGGACCATTGGTTTTGTTATATAGGGTAGTGAGGAAAGACAAAAAGTACACTTACTTGAGGTGTTTAACCTCGAAACCACTTTTAAGTGGAGCATATGCTCCTTTCTTTGCGTTTAAGGCTACCATTGCTGGATAACCATATCCTCCAACACCAACACGCTTCTCAAAACCAGGTTGCTTCCCAGCAGCCACCCACACAAAGCTGCAAACACAATAAAAATTTCGAACATTTGTGTACTTTCTCCAACAACAGAGTAACTGACAGCTGGAATATGATGATAATAACAAAAAGAGAGGATATGTGTTCTAAACTCACCTGTAAGGATCCTTCTTAAACTTCTCTGCAACTGATAATAACATCTCTAGATACTTGTTCCTTCCTTCAGCTTTTGAGTCCAGAATGTCAGGTAAGAAAGAAACAAAGCAAATAGCAGCAGGACCACACTTCTCTTCCATGACATCCTATTCAATCAGAACAGAACAAGGAGTGTCAATGGCTAAGTTGGAGACAAATAGAAAACAATGTTAGTGAACAGTCACAGATGCGAACAGTACCGGCCCAGTTAGTTCAGTTACTTCAACAGGTCCAACATTGGATTCTAGCTGTTCCAGAGCAAAAGATTCTATGGCTGATGCAGATCTAGCACCCTCATAAGGTACTGGGCTGCTTTTGTCTGCAGCAAAGACCAAGATAGTAGGATATCCTTGTACTTTGAATCTGCTCTTTATCGACTGCATTATATAAAACCTTGTCAGGTCTCAGCAGGTACAAGCGTTATAGTGAGGCAGAGTCTTACTTAAGAGGAAATGGCTAATGAGTTATAGTGAGTACCTGCTCAGCATCACAATTGACATGACCTAGTTTGACCTTCCCCTTCAACTTGTTTGCAGCCTTTTTCCACTCAGGAGCTAGCTTTTTGCAGTGTCCACACCTTGAGGGATAATTAGAAGAAAAAACTGGTTTTCAGTTTCATATATCGGAAAGAAGGTTAATGGCGTGAACAGCTCAATAGTCAAATATGCTACTACTACTTACCAAGGTGCAAAAAACTCCACAATCCAAAGTTCTTTGCTTTCAATAACCAACTCATCAAAATTGCTAGAGTTAAGTTCCACAGAGACACTAGGCTCAGATTTCTTCTGATTGGATCCTCCTCCATTTTTGGTGCCAGTTGTTTTGCCATCCAAACGATCCTTTAACAGGGCCTTTATCTGAATGTAGGTACAAAAGCTTGGTTGAGAATGATATCAGTGCAGAGCCACCTAAGATGATTTTTCACGAACATGTAATGTTCTTTCTTACTATCCGTTATTTCATTTATTCAATAGCTACAACACCATGTAATCAAGAATCAGCAAGAATATGCGGCAAACCTGCTTGATAGCAAATTGAGCAATGGATTTAGCATCCCTTGCTCCTTGGTAGTCAATAGGAGGCTTCCCGGGAACAAATACTTTAATGGTTGGAAAACCCCTCACACCATAATCCTGAGGGAGAGAACATTTTTTTCATCACAAAGATACAAAGATAATAGCTAACCATCGGCAATCACATAGGGATAAAAAAAAAAAAGGCATTACAAAAAATAAAGACAAACCTGAGAGACAGACTTATGGGCGTCAGCATCAATGGCTGCCACAGTAGCAATACCTTTCAAGGTATTAGCAACTTTCTCCCAAGTTGGTGTTAGAGATTTACAATGACCACACCATGGCGCAAAGAACTCTACCAAAACGACACCATTCGAGTTAAGAACCTGCCAACCATTTCCAAGGAGAATATTAAACGAAAATCATCAATACATGCTCTCGGAAAGAACAACAACAACAAAAAAAAACAAACATTCTACAACGAATAAAATCAACTATCTCATCCCTAACCACAATAGACTTTTCAAGGGATCCAACAGTAAAACAAATTCAGACGTAACAAGGAAATCTAACACTGCAAAACGAAATCATATAAATCACAGCTATACCTTAGACTTGAAGTTAGAAGGAGTGAGTTGAACCACTGGCGAAGAAGATCCATAGAGAGCATTGCTGAGATCGAAAAAGACAAACAATAGAGACCAAATTGTGAATAACGTTAATGCTGTTGATTTGTACATCTCTCTTTCTTTCTTTCTCCGAAAATAAAAAGAAAGCGACTCTTCTTTAAGTCATAGGAGAACTTATAAAATTGTCTACGTGGACTTACGTGTATGAACCAATGATATTGTTACACGTCATCACACTCTCCTCTGTCTCTTAACCTCTGTTTTTGTGTCCCCTGTTTTTGTATCCTGTTCGTATAAACAGAGGAATCATCTTACACAGAATAGCTGAATCACATTTCATAGTCCCCTATTGGATCACTCTGTAACACAAATCTATTTGATTTTTAGTTTTTGCCACAATAACAAAAAAAATATATATAGATACAGTAATTCAATTTCCTCACTACAAGGAACAAAAAAAACAGAAGAGCCTTTGGCTTCAAGTCAAAACCCATGTGTGCTTATATTAACGTTAAGAATCTCCGGAGGATAAAGAATAGTCGTTCGTTGTTCCGAGCAACTAATGTTTTAGATTTGCTTACTCCCCTTTGGTATCCTGAACAAACAATTGATACATTGTTTTCGCTATTGTCGGTTATTTTGATTTTTCAACCTGCACTTTCTGGTGCCTTGGAAGCATTTTCTGGCGCCTTCAAAGCATTTTCTGTTGTTTTGTTCTGTCTTGGGAATGGTCGTCTGAGGAACTTTGTCGTTGGCCAAGCTCGTGGTTTCATTCTCCCTAACAACTTCCATTCTCTCGGCTTTAATTGCCCGGCCAATCTCATTTGCTCCCTTCTAAACTTCCTATTAGCATACCATATCCCGCCTCGCCAACCCAAGCCATACCTGAAAACCCCAGACGGAAAATATCAATGAAAAACCTGAAGCAGCATCTAACTTGTCAACCTAACAGTCTTGGCGGAAACAAACCCGAGGACCAAAGTGGTTCCAGCAGTGGCAATTGTTGTTGTGAACCTGGAACCAACTGGATCAACGAGCTTCTTCAGTTCTCCTCGTTCCAAATCTTGTGTGTTTTTCATCTGCCATGAGAAAAAAAAAAACAAACTTTTCAAGTGATAGACTTAGGATAATAAAGGTACAAAAACACACCACTGAATGTTGAAAAGGGTAAAATAGTAGGAGACCCCATAGTATTTGTAACCAAAAATTATTAGCGGAAAGACTTATAAACCAGGTTTGAAAATTCAGACAATGACATTGTAATTTCATGATAAGACGATCAATATACACTATAATAGGAAGCACCAAGTAATTTGCAAGAGTTTCCACAGACAAGCAGCTAATTCCAAATATGCAAGCAGCGAATTCCAAAGCAACTATATATATAATACTGCCATATGTATATGTGCAAACATTTTTGGCAAACAACTATTAACAGCGAGAAATATTTTGTCACGTGAAGGACACTAACCGCATTCTCAATCGATTCCAGTCGCTGATTGATTCTAGTTTCATTGTAATGGCGTAATGAGTAACCTGCACAATCATTCATCCATTGGTTAGCAACTCGGTGATAAAACAAATTTGACTCAGTATAAACAGAAACAAAGATCAATGAGAGACTTTTGTAACGCTCAGTAATCAGTAGTAGCACAGACAAGAACTTCAGTTTCTAACCTGTTTTACATACCAGCAGAATAACAAAAGACCTATAAACTTAGGTAGAGATCTGAACAGCTAAATTATTCTATAGTCCGATATGAGAAAAGGCCACAAAGATATCACATTCTATCGCAGAATATGTGTCACCCCTAGAGATCAGCCGTGAGAGCTAAATTTAGCCCGATCATCAAACACAATTCATGAATTGAAGCTAAAAAGTGTCAACATCCAAAATCTGAGTCACGTCACTAAGTCATTGTTCACCGTTGAAAGCTATTTAATTCACTTAATCAAAATATGCAGCAAGGATAAGTGATTGCATCAAAGCTATACAATGCAAGAGAATTTGATAATAAAGTAATAAGCAGATATCAAAACTGACCAATCCAAGCCGTAGCAACAGATGCAATGGAAGTCCCAACTGTAAACACGACCCTGTGCCTCTCGAACAAGTCCTAAGAGATTAAATGAACTCCATTTATTTTTTAAAAAAGATGATACATAGACATTTTTAACGGAAAACTCTGATGAATAAAACATTTCCAAATCCCAATTCTTCAAAACTCGATATAAAAATTGGAAACTTTCCACCAAAAGAGGGAAAAAAGACGCATAGAGAACAGAGAAAGGGAACGAATGGTTCACCTTGGTGGAGAGATACGAATCCTGGACAGCGACCAATGAATTTAAGGCTTTTTTCTTCAGCTGAGGCACAACTGCGGAACCCAGAATCGATGTCCCTCGGCCTCTCAGCTGATTCATGATTCCGTCCCTGATGATGCGGCTTAAAAATAAAAACAAAAACTTGGAGTGAGCCGATTCGGCGGAGCAGATTGAGATATATGGGTTTTGTGTACCCAAATCGTCGGGGACAAAACCCAAACGGGGAGATTCTCGTCACGCAAAGGACGAAGCTTTACCCCCCAGATTTTTCTCCGACAAATAAGCCTTAAAACAACCCTTTTCAGTTTTCAACTCTTTTTTTTTTTTTTGGTAGGGTTCAGTTTTCAACTCTTTTTACTTGGAGGAATGTTGTTCAATTGAAATTTGAGTAATCAATAAAATAAAATAAAAAATGAAAAAATTGGAACCTTTTTTATTCCTTTTTTTCTTTCTTTTTTTTTTTCCTTTTTTATTCCTTTAAACATATAAACAGCATAAACTGATTATAAACCAAACCATAAAATAGGCTTAACTGGTGCATTCAAACTTGTAAAATTCTTTCCTAACTGCAGGCGTCTTTCTAAAAAAAGCAAACCATAAAATTGGTGGTTTAAAAAGTTGTTAAACAATCGTATGTATGTTTCTCTTTACGGATAGTTTCAAACTTTCAATTATCATTCATAAAGAGTTTGTTGTCAGTGTCACAGAGTCTATTTTTCCTGAGATGTAAAATTTATTAACAGAGTCCAAAACAGACGATAAAATTGTAACATCACCATGACCATCTCCAAAGAAAAATAAGCCAAAATAAAAAGATACTTTTCACCTCCCTTCCTCTTCAAGAAAATTAAATTAACAAAAAGGCCACAGAGAGAGAGATCACTGAGGTCCTGAGTGGGGGTGATTTAGCAATATCGCTGATGATCAATGTTGTGATCATGAATCATGCTCATGTTGATGACGAATTCTCAGACAAATCATGTACTTCTGAGTTATCCAATTGTTCAGAATCATAGTCCGGTTTGTCAGTCTCCGAGCTTTGCTTCTTCACATCAGGTTTACCATTCGAAAGAGACTTTGAATCAGAGCGGCTTGAGATCCTTTCATGGGTTGAGACAGGTGAAGCATACGGAGTAGCCAGAGACGAAGGCATGCTCAAGCCGGGATATGGCAGCATCGGGTGGTCGAATTTGCAATTTGGTCCAAACTTGCAGAATCCATAGGACCTGAAGTTACCACAAGCTGGTTGTCCCTGGATAGCAAAAACCAGAACACTGGCTCATTAGATGTTCAAAATCTTGTAATATTTGTACATATGATCAGTAAGATACCACATCTTTTTGTAACCAAAAGCTCTTCTTTCAGTTAAGACTTACAGGTCTCGCTGGAAGAACAAAAGGGTTTATAAGACTTGGTAGTGGTGGTGACATCCTTACTCTAGGATGATTGTATTTGCAATCGTCTCCATATTTACATGTCCCCGTGTTCATAAAGAACCGACATTCTGGTTGATCACAACTTTCAGGCAAGCCAGGGTTCAATTGCACAGCCACGGGCACGGATGCGCTAGAACCAGAGTAATAATGTTGGTTCTTCACATTATACATGGGGTTAGATGCAGCCTGCAACATAACAAAAACTCATAACATGTGATATCAATAGTAAAGAACAGATCTCTGAACTGAAGTCAAATTTGCTACAAGCAGAATCAGTAGCTTCTGTTCAGACTTACCATGTAAGTGCCCCAGCCTTGGGGAGGTAGAAGGCCTTGAGAGGGTGGTATCATGATTGGAACATAGGACTGAGGAACTTGCTGGCGAGGCAAAGTTCCATATGTAGACATCATTGTTAATCCACTAGCATACTGTAAACCTGTAGAAGGAAAGCTAGGCATTTCATATGCAGTAGAATGTCCATTATCAAGATGAGGATGGTGGAACTTGCAAGCAACTCCAAATCTGCAAGTTCCCGTTCGCAGGTAATATGGACATGGCTTCGCACCCTGGAGAAGAAACTCAAATTATTCTTCCACATTCGATAAAAAAAGTATATGAGCTGCGGTGTAATTACCTTACGCATAGGTAGACCAATAACATTGAACAATACAGGTTCTGCACCGTTCCTGTCCTTTGGGTGATGATATTTACAAGTTGAGCCGTACTTACAAGCTCCTGTCTTGAGAAAATACTGCAACGAAATTGGGTACAGAAGAGAAACTTGTTTGGAAAACATCTTCAAGGAAAGTAAACAATTCAGTGTATCTTTCAAACCAAGGAGAGACTAATCAAACTAGACATGAGGACTATGTTCTGCAGTTCAATGTAGATTCTTGTTACCTCTTAAGTGAAGTATCAGAGAAAGTTGTTTGGAAAACATATAGAATAGAAAAAATGTTTGGGGAACAACATCTTTAAGGAAATTAAAGAATTCAGTGTATTGTCTACCTTTCAAATCAAGGAAAGACTAAAACCAGACAAGAGGAATATGTTCTGCAGATCAATTTAGATTCTTGTTACCTCTTAAGTTAAGTAATAATCTAGAATAAGTTCTCTAACTTTTTTCTAAAACGGACAAGAAGCTTTTAAGTAGAAAACTTGAATGCATCACGCAGGCAGAACATATATGCACTCATCCAACGATCCAAACAACAACAATTATGAAATAACCAAGAATTTTGAGAGGATGAGAGAAATATCCAAGAGAGAGTGCACCTCGCAATCCGGCTGTCCAATTCTCTCAGGGAGCTCCTCCTTGTAATAAGCAACACCCTAATAAAGATGTTTAAAAGCAGTAAGCCATGAAGCAAATTGCAACTTTAAGAATCAGCAAAAATAGGAGAGTTCCTCTCACCTGCGGAAGATTGGTAGGATGATTGTAACGGCAACTGCTACCATAGCCACAGAGACCAGTTCTTAAATAGAATTGGCAATCTCTTTCACCGGGACGATCAGGGTACGGCTTTGATTCCGCCACGTCGTTGTCATTTACTTTCAGCTTCGTAAAGGCATCTACGAAGTCATCATCATACCAACAACCCCACACACACACACACACACAAAATAAACATCACATGATTTTTGATAAATATCCAAAACTTATTAAAAAGCAAACAGAAACGTAAACGAAACACAAAAAAAAAAAGATATCAAATTGATTCAAAAATTGCTGCAACTCACAATGAGAGTTATAAACGATGATCATCAAACACATTACGGAAAAAAAGAAAGAAACAAACCGGATGATATAGATCTCAGAAAGAAGAGGGGAAGGAAGTAACCTTGAAGATTGTCGGAAGATGGAATAGAGACAAGAGAGCTTTGAAGATGCTGAGTTTCGTCAGAAGACATGGGTCGCATGTAAGAAGAAGACGATGATCACGATGATCAACAAGAACAACAAACAGTACAAGGGCAAAAAAAATAATATTAAAAGATCAAGTGTTACACGATCATCGAAAGTAACAAATTTTGCAATCCTTGTTTTTGTTTATCTGGGTAAGAAATGACACAAAGAGAAGAAGAAGAAGAAGAAGAAGAAGAGAGGTAGAGACTAGAGAGAAAGAATAAAGTTTCAATTTTTTTTTGTTTTAAGTTGTAATTACACAAAGAGAGATTGCTCGTTGGAACAGATCCAATGGAGAGATTTAATGTTAAATGATATCTTAAATGTAAGTAAATTTCCTTTTTTCTTTTCTTTTTTTTTTTTGCTTTTTTGCCCAGACTCTTTGAGAGAGAGAGAGAGATATTTTTCGAGAGGAAAATTTTCGGATCTTTGGTTTTTTGACACACTCTCTCTTCCGATGTCTTGTGCGTGTTTTTCATTCAATGTGTGCAAAAAAGAAAGGAAGAAAAATAAAATTAACTGTGTTGTTAAAAATTAAGAAAAAAAAATAGAAAAATAGTAAAATAAAGAGTGCCAAGTAAGTAAGTAAAGTGAGAGAGTCCTTGGTTGCATGAACTGGAAATGACAATGGTAACCCTACATGCTCTGTCCTAGTAGTGTCCTCCTGTGGGTGAATGATGATATATCTTTCAATAGTGAAGTGTTCCATTCCATCGTTCCTAACTTTTGGTGGGCCTTCGCAGCTGCTTGCACCTTGCATATGTCTCTGTGTCTTCTTAATTTTTTGTTTGAACAAATGTCTCTGTGTCTTCAAATAACAAAAACACACGAAGAGTAGAAGCTCCCATAGGGGTAAAAGGGTCAGAAAAAGGTAAGTCTTCTGGCACAAGAAATCTTCGCAGTTTAATGGAGAGAGTGGTTTAAGGGGGGGCCCACACGTCTTGACTGGGGTAGAAGCAAGAAGTAAATCAATGTGTCAGAGAGAAGAAGCGGAGGGTTATGATTCGGTGGTGGCTGGAGCACCGTAAGACTCATAAAAGAGAGCCTTTTCTGTTTGTGTTGAGTTTGATTGACGTCAGTATTACGCCACGTTTTTAATAAGCCCTTTTATTTATATAAGTCGACGACCACTTGTTCGCTCCTTTTTTCCTCACTTCTATTCTCTCTTTCTTACCCGGTTTGACCGTCTTCTACCTTTATCCACGTCATTCAATCAACAACGTAAACAAAAAATTATCACAAAAAGGTTTGGCTTTTCATTTCTTTTATTTTATTTTATTTTATTTTGAGTTTCCTATGACTTCAAGTTTCCGCATCATTCATCCTCTCTCCCCTCTTTTTTGGTCTGCTTGCTGCTCTCTCCTCCTAACAAATGGGCCTTGGACTGGGAAACACGCGGGTATCAAAGAATCAAATACTACTGGGTCTTTGCGTTTTTCTGAATTCTTCCATTTTGACCACTTTCACTGGGCTTAGTTCCTATCTATTATTGGGCTTCTCTTAAACCCAATTTGCCACCTTTTTTCCTTCTTCATTTTATGTCATCCATGCATGATGTCCTAAAACATGTATTTGAACATTTACGATGCCCATGCTTCTTACCTTTTCCAATAGCAAATCATCATTCTTTATATTCGAATATTTCCTTTTTCTTTTTTAAATGTTTGTTGCGTATACGATTGATGATCCAAACACCATAAAAATTTGTTAAGTGAACTATATAATATTGTCGTCTCGTTTTTCAACAGTAGTTATTGGAGTACGTAGTTGATAAGTTTTCAAAAACTGATTCATTGAACTATCTAAATCCCAGACATAAACCATATATATGTCTAGAAACGTGGGACAGGAACAAAAGAGGAGAATAAGAAGTCACGACTTTGATCATGTATTTTTTATATGTGGAAACACACAAAAAAATAAATGATATATGAAATTTTCTATCACATATGGAAACACAGACAATAATTGATGAATCTTATGTCAAAGTCCCTCCCCCCACCCACACATAATTTCCATTGAAAATGTGCGTTCTGCGTACTCACACTCTCTCTCTCTCTCGTGAAGAATCTTCTCGTGTTGTTGTTAATTCAAAGGTCATTCTTTTGCATTTTGATACGCAACTTCGGTATTGGGAATTGCCGAATTGGTATCGAGGCCAATCACGTATATTATATATATGCTTAATTTGGATCATCATAACTTTAAAAACAGTATATCAATCATGAATCATGCGTTTTTTATTTAAAAATATGACTTACAGAGATTAAAGACTCTCATCTCAAATGTTTTCATGTGTTTTTTTCTACATACAGTATCATTCTCATATATCGAAATATGGAAACCAAGAAGAAAAAGAATGTATCACGAACCATGCAGATTATATATATATATATATAGTCTTTGAAAATCACGAACCATGCATATAGACATAGGCATTGAAGTCACGAATCATGCATATAGGCGTTGAAATCACGAACCATGCAGATAGAGACATTTTCTTGTTTTGCATCAGATAGAAACATTTTTTAGATACCCAATAAATTCTACAAAATTGATCACTTCATCTCTGTTAAAATATTATATACTGTGCCCTCAAATAAGAAAAAAATTAACGATCGATTCAAGTGATCAAGTCTTTTAATTTAACCAAAAACAAACGATTTTAATGCACTACGAGAATATCCTATTTATATTTCTCGTGTGAAAAAATAAATGCCATAATAAAACCAAATTTTTTTTTTTTTTTTTTTTGCCGGCTATAAAACCAAATTTACAAAAATATAATTTGATCTTTTTTTTTTGGAAAAATAGAAACAAAAACTCAAAGCTATGATCTTTTATTTCCGTACGTTCTTTTTAGGGGAAGTCCTTTGACGGCAAATAAAAAGGTTAATTTCCTACGTGGCGGAGTGCTCGCGGCGCAAATAAATCCTTGAGAGTTCTATAGAATCACAAAGGGAATATTCCTTGGAATGTACCCTTTTTTTTTTGGTTTTTCATAAAGGAAATAATGATTTGGTGCCATTTTGGTTTTATTAGAGTATTATATATTCTCGACCAAAGAAAAAAGAGTATTATATATCCTAATAAAGACCAGTGTAGGACACAGTAACCCATCGGGGGAAAAAACTGTCTTTAGCTAGTTTTTATTATTATTATCTGTATTTTTTTATTTCTTATAAGAAAAGTGTTAACTTTTATGTTGCGGGAGTGTTGTTGTTATGTGGAAGACAAAGAGATTAGACGTGGATTTCTAATAATGTGTTGTCGTCATATGGCTTCTTTCGCATTATTTCGGTTTCTTTTTGTTATGTACAAATTAAAATAGATATACTGTTTTAAAATGGTGCGAATCATACTTTAGGAATCATCATAATTCATAAATCATAAGCCTATGTATGCACCGAAGAAGAAACACATAGACAGTGAATTATACTACATTTATAAACAATATTATGAAACTGTTGTTTAGCAAATTAAAGCAAAATGTGAAAAATGAGTAGTAATGAATCTAATTCAACGTAAAACTTAATACATATTATAAGAAAAAAAGTGCGTTGATGACTGCCACATGACTCAGATTAGTGGATCGTTCGCCGCACTTTGCAGAGGAGAGGAGACTCTCTTGTCCCTTGGAATCTCTCATCTCTCTTTTTTTTTTTCTTTTTTTTTTTTCTTTTGGAATCTATATATATTATGGGGTTCCTTTTTTCCTCGAATAATAATGTTCAATTATTTATATTTAATTCCATAATTGACTTTCTCAGTAATAATATATCAAAAACTTTTAATTATATTAAATATTTTAATATATTTGGTGAAAATTGTCACACAGAAAAAAATTGGTATAGGTTCGATTGTGAAAGTCGATATGTTAAAAAATGCGACTGATTTCTCTGAATAATACATGATCGTGTTCGTGTATGGTAAGACGTAAGATCAAACGTTCCACAATTATGACAAGTTTAAGCTTCTCAATCCTTAACAATTGTGCTTTCCTGTAAACAAAACAAACGAATTATGAAGTACAATTATTTTATTTTTTGTTTACTTTTCTAATCCTTGAAACTTTCAATATAGGTTTTTTTTGGTTTTTTTTTGTTCTCTGATTAATTTATTATAATTATCATATCATATCATCAACCGTTATTGTGATTTGATAAATTGTAGTAGCATGTACAACTAATATAGATAGACCATAAAAAAAAAATAGACCATGTTACAACTTTTAGATATTATACTTTTTTAGATATTTTCCGTATTTTATTGTCAGCTTAACTTGAGAAAAAAATTATTTACTACTGGTATTGGATTCTTTTTGTTTCAACAATGTGTCCCCTTATAGGATCATATATATATATATATATATATATATATAGTATATAAACTAAA